CACCACCCCGCATGATGACGAGGATGAGATATATGGACAGAGTCTGCACGAAATCGCCACGTGATTTATATTAAAATCTTAAATATTTGATAAAATCACAACACTGAGATTGCACAATGAGTGGACGAGCTGTGCAGGAATGAGATTTAGCGTCAAGGTTTAGGACCAGGGCTGGAGAACTGGGGTTAGAGTGACAGTGGGTCTGGGGTTAAAGTGACAGTGGGTCTGGGGTTAGAGTGACAGTGGGTCTGGGGTTAGAGTAACAGTAGGTCTGGGGTTAGAGTGACAGTGGGTCTGGGGTTAGAGTGACAGTGGGTCTGGGGTTAGAGTGACAGTGGGTCTGGGGTTAGAGTAACAGTAGGTCTGGGGTTAGAGTGACAGTGGGTCTGGGGCTAGAGTGACAGTGGGTCTGGGGTTAGAGTGACAGTGGGTCTGAGGTTAGAGTGACAGTGGGTCTGGGGCTAGAGTGACAGTGGGTCTGGGGCTAGAGTGACAGTAGGTCTGGGGTTAGAGTGACAGTGGGTCTGGGGCTAGAGTGACAGTGGGTCTGGGGTTAGAGTGACAGTAGGTCTGGGGTTAGAGTGACAGTGGGTCTGGGGCTAGAGTGACAGTGGGTCTGGGGTTAGAGTGACAGTAGGTCTGGGGTTAGAGTGACAGTAGGTCTGGGGTTAGAGTGACAGTAGGTCTGGGGTTAGAGTGACAGTGGGTCTGGGGCTAGAGTGACAGTGGGTCTGGGGTTAGAGTGACAGTAGGTCTGGGGTTAGAGTGACAGTGGGTCTGGGGCTAGAGTGACAGTGGGTCTGGGGTTAGAGTGACAGTAGGTCTGGGGTTAGAGTGACAGTGGGTCTGGGGTTAGAGTGACAGTGGGTCTGGGGTTAGAGTAACAGTGGGTCTGGGGCTAGAGTGACAGTGGGTCTGGGGTTAGAGTGACAGAAGGTCTGGGGTTAGAGTGACAGTGGGTCTGGGGTTAGAGTGACAGTGGGTCTGGGGTTAGAGTGACAGTGGGTCTGGGGTTAGAGTGACAGTAGGTCTGCGGTTAGAGTGACAGTCGGTCTGGGGTTAGAGTGACAGTGGGTCTGGGGTTAGAGTGACAGTAGGTCTGGGGTTAGAGTGACAGTGGGTCTGGGGTTAGAGTGACAGTGGGTCTGGGGTTAGAGTGACAGTGGGTCTGGGGTTAGAGTGACAGTAGGTCTGGGGTTAGAGTGACAGTGGGTCTGGGGTTAGAGTGACAGTAGGTCTGGGGTTAGAGTGACAGTGGGTCTGGGGTTAGAGTGACAGTGGGTCTGGGGTTAGAGTGACAGTGGGTCTGGGGTTAGAGTGACAGTAGGTCTGGGGTTAGAGTGACAGTGGGTCTGGGGTTAGAGTGACAGTGGGTCTGGGGTTAGAGTGACAGTGGGTCTGGGGTTAGAGTGACAGTGGGTCTGGGGTTAGAGTGACAGTGGGTCTGGGGTTAGAGTGACAGTGGGTCTGGGGTTAGAGTGACAGTGGGTCTGGGGTTAGAGTGACAGTAGGTCTGGGGTTAGAGTAACAGTAGGTCTGGGGTTAGAGTGACAGTAGGTCTGGGGTTAGAGTGACAGTAGGTCTGGGGCTAGCGCGAGGGTGCATGGATGTAGTGGCTTAGAGTTCGGGTTGGAGCTGTAGGGTCAAGGTCAGGACTAGAGTTAGGGCGAGGGTTAGGGCTACGATGGTTAGGCTTAGGGTTATGGTCAAAGTTAAGACTAGCATTAGGATTAGGGCTGTGGTTAGTATCAAGGTTAGGGTTGTAACTATGGTTAGAGCAAAGGAATAACTGGCATTGGACTAAAGGGATTAAGGGCTATGGTTAATGTCAAGGTTAAGGTTAGAATTGGAACAAGGGTTAGGAAAGAGCTGGGATTAGGGTTAATGTTCAGGGCTATGACAATTAGTGGGAGTAGGGTTAGAACAACTGCTGGCATGACGTCAAGTGTTAGGCTATGAGCTTTGGCCTAGGGTCACTGCTAGGGCCTGCGCTAGGGCGAGGGTGATGGGCGGGTTCATGTGCGGGCTGTGACTCGTGCGTGGGTTTGGGGTTAGAGTTCGAGGACTATCGCTCGGGTTATGGGTGAGGTCCAGAGTCATGACAATTGTTCGTGCTAGGTTCATACATGGGTACTCGTATCAGAATGAAGGTTAGAGATAGGGTAGGGATTAGGGGTTAGGGCTACGATGACAGATAATGGAAAGGGCTATGGTTAGATATAGGACAGGGGCTAGGCTTAGGACTACGGTTGGGTCTAGGACTAGGATTAGAGATGAGTGAGGGGTTAGAGTTAGGAATCGGGTTATGGGTTAGAGACAGGGCTGGGGCTGGGGCTATGACCTGGGCTAGTGTTAGAGACTGGGGCTATGACCTGGGCTAGTGTTAGAGACTGGGGCTATGACCTGGGCTAGTGTTAGAGACAAGGCTGGGGCTGGGGCTAGGACCTGGGCTAGTGTTAGAGACAAGGCTGGGGCTGGGGCTATGACCTGGGCTAGTGTTAGAGACTGGGGCTGGGGCTGAGGTTAGGACCTGGGCTAGTGTTAGAGACAGGGCTGGGGCTAGGCCCTGGGCTAGTGTTAGAGACTGGGGCTGGGGCTATGACCTGGGCTAGTGTTAGAGACTGGGGCTGGGGCTGAGGTTAGGACCTGGGCTAGTGTTAGAGACAGGGCTGGGGCTAGGACCTGGGCTAGTGTTAGAGACAGGACTGGGGCTATGACCCGGGCTAGTGTTAGAGACAAGGCTGGGGCTAGGACCTGGGCTAGTGTTGGAGACAGGGCTGGGGCTGCCCTCTCACGCTGGGGCTAGGTCAGGGCTAAGCCGATGGAGAGATCGATGCGGGAGATCGATGCGGCGAACACACGCGGGTCACGCCCCGCGCAGAGCACGGATGCGAGCAGAGGACACACAAAGATCCCCCGTATAGCCTTCACGGATTTATGGAGGCAAGTGCTATTAGCGAGCACCTATAAAGGCCGGAACGGCGCATGCGGGGATGGGTGGCGATGACGATGCCCAGCCGCCTTTGTCTTCCGAGTGGTAATATTTGCATATCGCACCAGGTACTCATTTGAGGCTGAGTCGACCTACGGGAGGCCCATGACCGGTTCGAATATTCGCTGTCACTGTTATTTTCTCATGAGCGGGAATCGAACTCGGGTGGCCGGGTTCGTAGCGCAAATCGCGAAATCCACCCACCGCTCCCCAAGCGGAAGACGTTGGCGACAGACCGATCCGACGTGATGATGTTCGTTTGCCTGGTTTGAGATACGCTGCGACATTACCCGTGTGATAATTGCTATTTTACATGATTTACCGTTAATAGATGCAAGCATTTCATTACAATACGTGATTGCAATACGTGATTGATAATTAGGCGCGCGCACAGAGGGGCCTTAATTACAATTAGTCATCCATTCATATCGCGTGCGAATACATCTCAAGATACTAAGACAAAAGCACAAACACACAAAGACACGTACGTAGAGACAGACACACAGCAACACACACACATACACACGGAGACACACCCACTGATACACACACACCGATACACACACACACAGACACACTGACACACCCACTGATACACACACACAGACACACACAGACACATTGACACACCCACCGATACATACCCACCGATACACACACACTGACACACACACAGACACACACACACTGACACACCGCAGACAAAAGACAAAGACCCCCCCATGTGACCGCTAACAGGCTGTTGTGGCAAGTGGTGTGTAGCGAGCAGAGATGAAGGCGGCACGCGGCGGAGCGGTGTGGCCGGCACCACGCCCAGCCGCCTTTCTCCCCCCCCTTCCCCAGTGCTGATGTTTGTCATACCGCAGCTGGTACTGATTTAAGGCCGAGTTGATCCAGGGGAAGCTCACGACCGGTTAAAATATTCACCACTGCTTATTGCTTGTAGAGCTGGAATCGAACTGGGGTCGCCGGGTTCGTAGCGCAGTGCGCTACCCTCTGTGCGGCCTCTCCCCGACAGCGGCACGCTCCACGCAGCGACATGCACACAGACGAAGATCACCGCCGGCGTAGCCTGCCACAGATTGTTGTGTAGGAGCTGTTGGCGAGCGCACAGATTGTTGTGTAGGAGCTGTTGGCGAGCGCACAGATTGTTGTGTAGGAGCTGTTGGCGAGCGCACATTCAGACCGCCATGGCGCGTTCGGCCGGGGGGGGGGGTCTGGGCAGGGCCACGCCCGACCGCTTTTGTCTTCTCCCCCTCCCCCCAGTTCTGATGCTTACACACCGCACCTGGCGTTTATTTCAGGCCGAGTCAACCCACGGCAGGCCCACGATCCCTTCAGCTGTCATTGCCCGGTGATATTTGGCGAGAATCGATCTCAGGTTGCCAGGTTCGTAGCGCAGTGCGCTAACCACTGCGCCACCGCTCCTCCCGCACACGGACACGTTCCCCGACACACACACACTGACACACACACACGCCGCAAGACACATACAAACCGCAAGACACACACACACGCCGAAAGACACACACACACCACAAGACACACACACACACCGCAAGACGCACACACCTCAAGACACACACACACGCCGCAAGACACACACCGCAAGACACACACACACACACTCCGCAAGACACACACCGCAAGACATACACACACGCCGCAAGACACACACCGCAAGACACACACGCCGCAAGACACACACACCGCAAGACACACACACACGCCGCAAGACACACACATACACACCGCAAGACACACACACACCGCAAGACGCACACACACCGCAACACACACACACAGACACCGCAAGACACACACACACCGCAACACACACACACCGCAAGACACACACACAGACACCGCAAGACACACACACACCGCAACACACACACACAGACACCGCAAGACACACACACACACCGCAAGACACACACACATACACACGGCAACACACACACACACACCGCAAGACACACACACACACACCGCCGCTGCAACTCACCTCGCTCCACATCTTCCACAGCCACTCTCAGCTGCTCTTCACTGCTCAATTCGCCCACGACCACCACCATGGATGCACCGCCATCCACCGCGCACGGTGACCCTCCACCGATTCCCCCTCCATCCTGCACCCCCATTCCTCCGTGGCCCGCGTCGGTTCCAAACGGAGCCGCGTCGCTCGCCATTGCTTCTCTCTCTCTCTGTCTCTCTCTCTCCACCTCCTCCTCGTCCACCTCCTCGTCCACCTCCTGCTCCTCCTCGCAATGCGCTGTGGACGCGCCGCCCCTCTGCGCGCGTTTAAAGGGACCCGGGGGCGGGTGACGTCACCGCGGGCAGGAGGAGATGCGGGCGGGGGGGGGCTGCGGGGGATGAAGAGGGGGGGCGGGGGGGCTGCGGGGGATGAGGAGGGGGGGGGGGGCTGCGGGGGATGAAGAGGGGGTGGGGTGGGGGGGTTGAAGCGATGGGACAAGGAGGGCGCCCCCGTGCACGATCACGACATCGCAGGATCGTGATTGGCGGTGGACTTCATCCAGCGGTGGATAGACCATGGGGCATGGTGATGACGAGAGGCGTGGGTGGGGATGAGAGGCTGGGAATGAGGGGGGATGAGAGGGGAGGAGTTGGTGGAGGATAAATTAGGGGGGGAGGTGGCGTCGGGAGGGCCGTCATCCAGCAGTGGATAGACCATAGCTGATGATGAATGGTCGCTAGGGGTGACTTCGGAGGATGAGGGGCGGGGTGAGTGGGGGGTGAGTGGCAGGGTGAGTGGGGGGGGGGGTGAGTGGGGGGTGAGTGGAGGGTGAGTGACAAGGTGAGTGGGGGGTGTGTGGCAGGGTGAGTGGGGGTGATTGGGGGGTGAGTGACAGAGTGAGTGGGGGTGAGTGGGGGGTGAGTGACAGGGTGAGTGGCAGGGTGATTTGGGGGTGAGTGACAGGGTGAGTGACAGAGTAAGTGAGGGGGTGAGTGACTGGTGGTACCAGCGGTGTTCATTTTGGTCTCGATGGAGCAGGCTCGTGAAGGACGCTACTGGGTGGGTGAGGCAGTCGCCCTCCAACAACAGTGGGGGGTAGATGAGGGACGCTCACAACAACGAGCAGAGCGCCGGGCAGATAAAGCGCAGCAATTTGGCATAGCGACGAGCACAGGTCCGTCACGTGACCTCCTCACGCCAGCCTTCCACACTTCACGCGATAGCCTCAAGGTGCACGTAGCCTGGCACAACGGCACAAGCGCCGTTGTGACATCACGGCCACTTAGTGGCGAATGGCGACATTTGTGGGGCGGTGAACATTGGCCCTGCGGTGGCGCGTTCACCACTCGATGCAGAAGTTCACGGCGCGAACTCCAGCCAGGTGGGTAGCACAGCGTGCTCACCATTGCACTACCGCTACCCTCACACACAAAGACAAAGATCCCCCGTTTAGCATGAACAGACTGTTGGGGCAAGTGCTGCTAGCGAGAACCTATGAGGGCCGGCACGGCACACGAGGGGGTGGGTGGCCAACACCACGCCCGGACGCCTTTGTCTCCTTAGTGGTGATGATTACACATCACACCAGGTACTCATTTGATGCTGAATCGACCTAGGGGAGGCCCGGGAACGGTTCAGATAACCGCCACTGGTGTTGGCCGTGAGCGTGAATCGAACTCGGGTCGCCAGGTTCGTAGCGCAGTGCGCTAACCATTGCACCACCGCTCCCTCCCCACACTCACACACACTCACACACACTTACACACAAACTCACACTTACACACACACTTACACACACGCTTACACACACATTCACACTTACACACACACACTTACACTTACGCACACACTTACACACACTTACACACACACTTACACACACACACTTACACACACACTCACACTTACACACACACTCACACTTACACACACACTCACACTTAGACACACTCACACTTACACACACTTACACACACACTTACACACACTCAGCGCGAGGCCGACTCATTGCATCTCGCGGGGGATCGCTCCTCTGAACGAAATAGTGCCTCGGTTCAGTTTGCAATTGCGAGTTCGTGTTTTAAGTAAATCTTTTTTTTTATTTTTCATGGAATCTGGTTCGTAAGTACGGGTGTTCGTAAGTCGGGCGTTCGTAATTCGATAGCTGCCTGTATAACGGGGTCTACATCGGCAGTCAGCGCCCCCTACTGCAAATAAACCGATTGCTGAGACTCAGTTCTTGGGTAGCAAGTGTCGTGGTGATCGTGACCGTGGTGTGCGAGTCTGTAGGGACGCCTGGGGGAGGTCTTCACACAGCAGTGGAGTCACCACGGCTGATGCCATCCCCACACACCGCATCGTTCTGGGTCATAATTGAGTTGTTACTCGAGCCTTTTTTATTGTTATACTGGCAACAAGCGTACACATACACACGTGCAGTGTTGTCGCAGGGGTAGCAGGACATGCTGATGAGTGATTATACTATAGACGAAACCAGCGTGGACTCGTCGTGTAGTCAATGCAGCGATGATCCCCAGTAAGTTGATGATCCCCAGAAAATTGCTAAAACCTCAGCAAATGAGTCAAAAACACGAAATGTGTACAGTACAGTAATATTATAGGCGACGTTTCGGGGAATAGCCCTTATTCATATCACATCATGCTACGTTGAGATGTTTTTGTTAATCAGAATCTTTATGTATCCTGGAGAAATCCGATGAGCTATGAAGCTCTTTTCCACCGATGTCCAGGAGGTGCTCGTGCAGCATCACCAACGAAGTCTTCCCTCCAGTAGAGGCGAGAGAGAGAGAGCAGTGGCCACAGCCGTCAGTATCACAAATCTGGCTGGCGCCTGATGAAGCTGGTTGCAATTACTGGCGAAACGTCGTACTCGGATTGTAAACGTTGTGGCTTGGCTCTCCAACACACCGGTTAGTGCTGTACTAGTACACTACACTATACACTACTATACACTACACACTACACTAAACACTACACATTACACTACTACACACTACACTATACAATATACTACACTATACACTACACACTAGTGCTGTACTAGTACACTACACTATACACTACACTATACACTACACTACTATACACTACACTACACACTAGTGCTGTACTAGTGACGAATTGGCCACGTTCTGTTTACGTGACAACTCTTACTAGTTGGCTGTGTCGGGTGGTGGCGGGTTTTAACGACACATTTATATATTTACGCGATCTAACCCAAAAACCTCTACTATAGAGATGCGTTAAAGACAAACTACGGGCCACACAGTAACCCACTGTAGCCTGCGCTCCTTCAGTGGAGGAGGAACAGCAGAACGACGCAAAACTCTCTCTCTCTGCTGAAGCCCTTCTCATCGTGGCCAGCAGCAGGACTCGACGTTTCACACCCAGCTCCTGAACCACGAAGCTGTTGCCATGGACACGGAACATCATACCAAAAGACAATCACCAAGCACTCGCGCCCTCAAGCGACAGACGTTGGTATCTGCTCAAAGTTCTAATAACACTGGTCAACACACTTTTTCTGGCATAAGGTATTCCAACGGGTTTAAGGTAATTTTGGGCTGCTGATTCCAAATCTTTGTCAGTTTTTGTCTATTACATCAGGTTTTTGAGATATCAAATATTGCATTTTCAATAAAAACAGCAAATGTATGCTCACATACGAGTAGCTAAACAGACATCCATACAAGAATAAGATAAGATACAATAATAATTAGTATTCGTCGGGGGGATTTGTATTCGCCATCAGATTCGTCCCGAGGCCCACAGCGAACTGTTCTGATATCCCCGCCGTGGCCACCACTGGTCCTGTAGGAGCTGCTGCTGCTGCTGGTGGTGCTGGTGCTACTGCTGGTGGTGCTGGTGGTGGTGCTGGTGGTGCTGCGGGTGGTGGTGCTGCTGGTGGTGCTGGTGGTGCTGGTGGTGGTGGTGCTGCTGGTGGTGCTGGTGCTGCTGGTGCTGGTGGTGGTGCTGGTGGTGGTGCTGGTGGTGCTGGTGGTGGTGCTGGTGGTGGGGGGCATCCACACGTCACCCCACACGTCACCCAGCGCCCGTGTGGGCACAGACGACTCGTGGTTCTGCCCATTTGTGGAGACCGTGCGGGCACTTTCGGGATGATTGGCGAGATGTTGACTAATTCTAGATTTGAAGCTTTCGTGACTGCAAGGATTCATATTCTTAGGTTTTTTCGGTAAAGTCACGTAGGTAAAAAAAATTAATAAAAGTAAAGTATATTATTTTATTATTTTATTTTACTTTTATTAATTTTAATTTTTACTTACGTGACTTTACCGAAACAACCTAAGAATATGAGATGTGAACTACCTCGCCTGGTGTGCAGGAGAGCGTGGGCTAGATCACGAACGCTGGCGCCTGCTGCTGTGTATTTGGAGTTTGCGCTCAGTCCGACTATCTGAGAGTTGTTGGCTGCTACAACAACAACAATAACAACTTACAATGGTAATAACAACAATGACTACAATATTGAGAACAACTATAGATTATTTGAACCACATAGATATAGTTTCTTTGAACCTATATCGACGTGACTTTACCGAAAGACCCAAAGAATATGAATTCCTGCAGTCACGAAAGCTTTAAGTCGAGAGTACGACGTTTAAGGCGGAGGAGGGTTATGATGATGATGAGTATGATGATGATAATGAGTATGATGATAATGAGTATGATGATGAGTGGTATGATGATGATGATGAGTATGATGATGAGGGGTATGATGATGATGAGTATGATGATGATGAGTATGATGATGATAAGGAGTATGATGATGATGAGTATGATGATGATGATGAGTATGATGATGAGTATGATTATGATGATGAGTATGATGATGATGAGTATGATGATGATGATGAGTATGATGATGAGTATGATGAGGAGGGCTATGACGATGATGATGATGAGTATGATGATGAGTATGATGATGATGAGTATGATGATGATGAGTATGATGATGAGGGCTATGACGATGATGATGAGTATGATGATGATGAGCATGATGATGAGGGCTATGACGATGATGATGAGTATGATGATGAGTATGATGATGATGAGTATGATGATGATGAGTATGATGAGGAGGGCTATGACGATGATGATGAGTATGATGATGATGAGTATGATGATGATGATGAGTATGATGATGATGATGAGTATGATGATGAGTATGATGATGATGAGTATGATGATGAGTATGATGATGATGAGTATGATGATGATGATGAGTATGATGATGATGAGTATGATGAGGAGGGCTATGACGATGATGATGAGTATGATGATGAGTATGATGATGATGAGTATGATGAGGAGGGCTATGACGATGATGATGAGTATGATGATGATGATGAGTATGATGATGAGGGCTATGACGATGATGATGAGTATGATGATGATAAGTATGATGAGTATGAGTATGATGATGAGGGCTATGACGATGATGATGCGAGATTGCTGCCCACGTGGTGACTGCTCATGTCAGGTCGCAGGTTCCCCGCCTCGGCGTCTGCGCGTGAGCGACGCGCCAAGTCAGAGGTTTTACCTCTGACACGACGCGCCAAGTCAGAGGTTTTACCTCTGACACGACGCGCCAAGTCAGAGGTTTTACCTCTGACACGACGCGCCAAGTCAGAGGTTTTACCTCTGACACGACGCGCCAAGTCAGAGGTTTTACCTCTGACACGACGCGCCAAGTCAGAGGTTTTACCTCTGACACGACGCGCCAAGTCAGAGGTTTTACCTCTGACACGACGCGCCAAGTCAGAGGTTTTACCTCTGACACGACGCGCCAAGTCAGAGGTTTTACCTCTGACACGACGCGCCAAGTCAGAGGTTTTACCTCTGACACGACGCGCCAAGTCAGAGGTTTTACCTCTGACACGACGCGCCAAGTCAGAGGTTTTACCTCTGACACGACGCGCCAAGTCAGAGGTTTTACCTCTGACACGACGCGCCAAGTCAGAGGTTTTACCTCTGACACGACGCGCCAAGTCGGAAGTTTTATCTCTGACACGACGCGCCAAGTCAGAGGTTTTATCTCTGACACGACGCGCCAAGTCGGAGGTTTTACCTCTGACACGACGCGCCAAGTCAGAGGTTTTACCTCTGACACGACGCGCCAAGTTAGAGGTTTTATCTCTGACACGACGCGCCAAGTCGGAGGTTTTACCTCTGACACGACGCGCCAGGTCAGAGGTTTTACCTCTGACACGACGTGGTGCGCCGATTGCGGCTGAAGCTGAGTACGCGACTTCACTTGGCAAATTGCATCTTTTTTTATATATATATTTTAGTTTTGTTATCCTCACAAATCCAAAACGATCACCGCCCCCGTCAGTCGGCCACGTGAGCGAGTGAGCGGAACCCTGGAATTGAGCTGCTGGGGTCGCGAACGCCGCCGCCCACAGCTCGCCGGGGCGGCGGCGGCCGCCGCGCTCAGGCGCTAGGAAAGCCGCCGAAAGCCTGCGGGGGTAGGCCCGGGCCGCCGCCCGCAGGGGAATGTCCGCCAAAGGCAGGAAAAGGGCGCCGCTGCCTTCGCGGCCCGAGCCGCCCACGGTGGAGGAGGTGGTGGAGGACGTCCACGGCGCAGGGCCCTCGGACCCCGTGTTCAGCTTCTCCGAGGAGAGTGAAGGCGAGTCGAGACACTCACTCACCTACTCACCCACCTACTCGCTCACCTACTCACTCACCTACCCGCCTACTCACTCACCTACCCGCCTACTCACTCACCTACCCGCCTACTCACTCACCTACCCGTCTACTCACTCACCCACTCACCCACTCACTCACTCACTCACCCACTCACTCACTCACCCACTCACTCACCCACTCACTCACTCACTCACCCACTCACCCACTCACTCACTCACCCACTCACCCACCCACTCACCCACTCACTCACCCACTCACTCACCCACTCACTCACCCACTCACTCACCCACCCACTCACTCACCCACCCACTCACCCACTCACTCACCCACCCACTCACCCACCCACTCACTCACCCACTCACTCACTCACCCACTCACTCACCCACTCACTCACCCACTCACCCACCCACTCACCCACCCACCCACCCACTCACCCCACTCACCCCACCTCACCCACTCCACTCACCCACCCACCCACTCACCCACCACCCCCACTCACACCCACCCACCACCTCACACCACCCACTCACCACCCACCATCACCCACTCACCCACCCACCCACCCACTCACCCACCCACCCACCCACCCACCCACTCACCCACCCACCCACCCACCCACCCAACCCACCCACCATCCCCACCCCACCCACTCACCACCCACCCACCCACCCACCCACCCACCCACCCACCTCCACCCACTCACCCCCACCCCCAACCCACTCACCCACTCCACCCACCCACCCACCCACCACCCACCCACCCACCCACCCACCCACTCACCCACTCACCCACCCACCCACTCACCCACCCACCCACTCACCCACCCACCCACACTCACCCACCCACTCACCCACCCACCCACCCCACCCACCCACTCACACCACCCACCCACATCACCCACCCACCCACCCACCCCCACGCACCCCACCCACTCCACTCACCCACCCACCACCCACCCACCACCCACCTCCCCACCCACCCACCCACCACCCACCCACTCACCCACCCACCCAACCACCCACCCACTCACACCACCACCCACCCACCCCACTCACCCACCCACCCACACACCACCCCCACTCACCCACCCCCACCCACTCACCCCCCACCCACCCACCCACTCACTCACCCACCCCACCCACTCACTCACCCACCCACCACCACCACCCACCCACTCCCACCCACCCACCCCCCCACTCCACCCACCACTCACCCACCCACCCACCCACTCACCCACCCACCACCCACTCACCACCCACCCACCCACTCACCCAACCCACCACCACCCACTCACCACACCCACCCACCACCCACTCACCTACTCACCCACCCACTCACCCACCCACTCACCCACCCACCCACCCACCCACCCACCTCACCCACCCACCCACCCACTCACCCACCCCCCACCCCCCACTCACCCACCCACCCACCCACCCACCCACCCACTCACCCACCCACCCACCCACTCACCCACCCACCCCCACCCACCACTCACCCACCACCCACCCACTCACCCACCACCCCACCCACTCACCACCCACCCACCACTCACCCACCTACCCACCCACTCACTCACCCACCCACCCACCCACTCACCCACTCACCCACCCACCCACCCACTCACCCACTCACCCACTCACCCACCCACCCACCCACTCACCCACTCACCCACCCACTCACCTACCCACCCACTCACCTACCCACCCACTCACCTACCCACTCACCCACCCACTCACTCACCTTCCCACCTACTCACCTACCTACCCACCTACTCACCCACCTACTCACCTACCTACCCACCCACTCAACCACCCACTCACTTACCCACTCACCCACCCACCCACCTACCCACCCAGTCACCTACCCACCCACTCACCTACCTACCTACCCACCTACCCACCTACCTACCTACCCACCCACTCACCCACTCACCCACCCACCCCGAGGCCGCCTACTGCCTGGCGAAGGCCTCCCTCCCGTGTGAACCTTCACGTACTTGGGCAATGCTCGGAGGGTTGAAAGTTGCGCGATTTAAAGTCTTTGGTTTGTTTGTTGTGCCGGGTAAGTGTCCAGCCGAGGTGCTCAGAGGCGACGTGGCCACCACACACGAGAGCGCGACGGAGCGGACTTATCGTGTGGACACTTAAAGAAGCCGCAATAGTCGCGACTCGTGTACATCTCGATGTTGATAGAATGTAATGTTGCTAATAGTGGTTATGTTTGTGCATCGTTTTGGGTGCCTTATGGAACACGTTTTTTTGCATAGATTTCGATTTGCTTAATCGTTGTAACTTTGTTTACGTCATTGAGTTTGTCTTTTCGGTGATAGAGGTCACTGTCCTTGGTCTCTTGCATTCTTGCCTGGTTAAACAAAATCATCTTCAACTCGAAACTATGTCGTGTCTCTCTGTATTTGTGTGTCTATGTACGATTTGTATCTGTCTCTATGTATCTATCTGTCTCCTTGTATCGATGTCTCTATCTGTCTATCTCTGTGTATCTATCTGTGTATCTTTGTATATCTATATGTCTCTGTGTATCTCAATGTACTATATTTTTCCGTCTCTGTGTATCTATCTATCTCTATGTATCAATATATCTATGTGTGTGTATCTCCCTCTATGTATCGACATGTCTATGCATCTCTGTGTGTGAGTGTGGTGAGCAAGGTCACTTGTGAACCTGGCTCTCTGGAGTTCTCGTCCGCTAAAAACAAAGCCAACGTGAAACTTGGGTGGCCGTGGGTCCCATTGCCTCCTTCAGTGTAAACCTTTCATCATCATCGTCCCCACACCAAATATGTTACTAATAAAAATTAATTCTGTAGTCACCTAGTAAGAATGCTCATACATCGCATGTTCTAGTCGCGTAACACAAACCGGTCTTGCTAAGTACTCAGGCCCATTCTGTAATTTAGAATCGCTACTGATGTATGCAGCGTATTCATTTTTATAGAGGCAGGCAGTCGTGGGTCTCTGTCAGTCTTGATCTCTCTCCGAGTCTATAGATCTCTGTGTGAGCCTATGGGTCTGCACGTAATGAGTCTGTGGGACTGAGTGTATGAGTCCCTACGGATCTATGGGTCTCAGTGTATGTCAATACAATATGGAATTTTCAGCGACTACATGTAACCACATCTGTACAAAAAGGTGTATATGTCTTCATTGTATTTAGAGGCAATCCGTAACAGGCACAAGGAGAATAAACATGGTATTGAGTCTGGACTTAGGGGGACAGCACGGATGGACGAGAGAAGGGGGTTGCGTGCACAGGAGAATGACTGAGCTCTCGCTGAGCGTGGTTGGCATGGGCTCGAGTGCAAGGATTTCTATTGGGCCATCTGTCCACAATGTCCCCTATCTGAACCACTACCGTTCCTGCTCCCTCTTCATAATCTCTCTCCCTGGCTACCACTCCTTCCCCATCCATTCATCATAATTTGCTGTCATTAATTTAGCTTTTACTTAATTCACGCATCACAGGTTCACCCATTACTTCCTCTCATGTGTTTCATTCGCCTCATCTTCACCATTACAGTCATACGTGCCGTTGTTAACTCGCTGCAAAGCGCCTTGGTTAAAGCGCTATATAAATTACGTTAAGATAAGGTCTTTGTAGCCTGGTGCCTGAAAACCCCTGTCACAGGGGTTCCAGTTCCCGGCCTACACACTCAGTTGTTATGCCACTGCACTAAGCTCTGCTCTCAAATGTCACCTCTGGCACAGGAGGAGGAGCAGGGGTGCAGGACATGGGCGGGCGTCCTGAGCACGAGACCACAGACACCCAGGTCCACGACTGCTTCCAGCGCTGCCGGCGCTTCGTGGAGACGCACCAGCAGCTGCGTGCCGCGCGGAGCCTGTTGGACGAGAAGCTTCAGCAGCTGCAGAGCAGCGAGGAGGAGCTGCAGGCCACCGTCGCCGAGCTACAGGCCAAGGCCAACGAGGGCGCAGGCCTGGTGGCCTGAGGGAGGTGCCTTCTCGGTTGTCCCCCGCTTCCGGAGACACGGAATCGTGAAAGCCCGTCGCATCAAATCACGTGGCACCGCATGCAGAGTTCCCAGCCCTTCTCAAATTAGTGTTTACAAGTGATTGTTAGGGTACGCTGAAGTTTCGTGGGCTGGTCTTTAGTATTTATCAGCATACTGGACGGTACATTCCCTTGACCCTTTTCTCACATCCTGACAGGTTTATTCAGTGCTTCTCATGACCTGCTGGTAAATTTGAAGTCGTACTTGGTAGTAACGTGAAATATTGCCACTTACCATTGTGTACCATTAGCCCTTCCACCAGCAGGGGTTTGAGCAAGTAATTGCAGGGCTGCATTTTAACCTTTCTTTTTTAACCACTTAGCTGGTACCGTTATCGTACTTTCCACGCAAGGCACGTTTCGGTGATGTTGGGCTGCCGGTCGTGGTTTTCCCGGTGAAGGGAAATCTTGGGCGACCGACACCTGAGAACCGAATGGTTCGTGCCACGTCCAAGCAGCCAAGCTCCTCCAGCGAGAGACGCATGATTTATGACTACTCCCTGTGGTATTGCGAGGAGGACAGCGCGGTGGCGGAAGACATCACGAACACGCTCGACTCAAAGGATCTCCGCCGCTTTGTGGACCATGTCGATGAGGTGGCTGGTGAGCTGGCCATCAAAGCAGTCACCAATGTCATCCAAAGCAGCCGCTGCTCCGTGGTGGTGCTGTCCCCGCAGTCACTGGAGTCAGCCTGGTACAGATCCATTATGCACTGGAGCCTACATCAATGCTTGGAGCCATCCGTTTTGTTCAGGTTGGTGCCCGTGTACGTGGGAGGTGCAAAGTCGCCTCAGATACTGTCTCACATTGCCGGCCTGCAGTACTCCCACCGCCACTTCCACACCCGCCTCATCAAAACGGTGGACTTGAAAGTCAAACACCGTAGAGTCACGTAGCGCCACGGTCTCTCGAGTGCCAGGACGACCTCGGCGACGTGATGATGCGTTTTATGGGAAGATACAATCCAAGAAAACAAACAGTTCTAAATGTTTTTGCTACACGGTTTACGCATGTGTGTATGGGTGGGTAGCGGTAGCATAGTGGGTCGCGCGCTCTGCTAAAAACTTCGGTGATCTGAGTTCAGTTCTGCTTACGACTATTAGACAGTGGCAAATATTTTAAGAGGTCCCGCGTTGCCCCCCCCCCCCCCATGTTGACTCAGCATTCAAAACTAGAACCTGGAGCGGTGTGAAAACACAATCATTGGAGAGACGAAGGCGGCTGTGCATTGTTGGCCACCCACCCCCCTCGTGTGCGGTGTGCCGGCCTTCATAGGTGCTCGTTAACGACACTTGCGCGAAAAGTCTTCTGAAGACTGCGGCTGCCAGCTTGGTAAGAAAAGGCCAAATTAGGTCAAGCTTTTCATCATAGCACTGCAGTGATGTCACTGATTTACCATAATAATACATGAGTGATGTCACGACGTCGCTAGTGCCATGATGACATGCTCCCCCATCACTTTAAAGTCCTCTCATTAATGAAGCTTCAAACTCAGTCTGCCTGGGTCACGCAGCATAGGAGTGTAGCTAAAAATAAGAGCTGAGCGACTGCTGCAGTTTGCATATGTCATGCTTATGTGGATTTTGACCGGCTGCAAGGCGTGTCCATTAGCAGTGGGCCAGCGTGAACATGAGCGGAGCATCGGGCTTCTTTTGATGGTTACTTTCTTCCTCTGCATTGGCATGTCTCTGCAGGATAAATTATTTTTAAATTAACTTGTTCCACGTGCACGGAGGGAGATGGAGCAATGAAATGGACTCTTGTGCAGGTTAAGGATGGATTGTTACCGTGAGAGATGGAAACGGCTTGGAGAAGCCTTCGTCCAGGCGCGGATTGGCCGTGGCTAATTATAAGCATGAGGATGATGCAGAGGGAATGCTGGATTGGTGGTGGGATTAAAAAGCAGGTGGCTTTTAAATGTGTACTAAAGAAAATAATTGTGCCTTCTTGGGGGTGTGTGTATTTATGCCATTATCGCTTTTGAATGTTTGAAGGCCAACCCTGTATTGTGTGTGATTGCGCCAGATATCCGCGCGCACCTGTGATCCAGCGCTGTAGAGGAAAGGGTTGGTGGATAACAGAGATGTGCGAAAATCTCAAACATGCCAGGCTACTAAGTGACCAGGAGTTATGGCAGCAGTGCACGTGGATGCACAAACTGCACTGTGCAGAGCTCTTGGGAGTTATCACATTGTATGCATGCTTTATTTTAACTGGGTACTCTGATTTCGTTCCGCAGTCCAAACACTCGAATGTGGAGTTGACCAAACATCCTGATGTAGGACCCTTCCTGCAATAGAGTTGAATCTCAGTGATCATTTTTTTATAAATATAATTAGAGGTGTGACCTGACATTACTGTACCCATTCACCATTGAAAAATAAAATCCAAGAGACTTGGGATAAAAACAAAAAGAGCAGATTTTATTGTGGTGCATTTGATAGATAATTCTGCGCATTATCAATACCACCTGATAGCACACCTTTCCTCAATAAAACTCTTACTTTTAATGCATTGACATTCTGACTGCATAATTTGTATCATCAGACCTCGTTTGGGTCAGTTGTGAGTGGGCTTGGGCAGGACACGTCGCCATCAAGGGTGTCAAGGGTGCTGACTGGGAGCCGAGAATAACGACTGTGAGTAGCCAGCTAAAGGGAGGGCGCCTGCCGAGGAGATGGAGCGATGAGATGACCCGTTGTGCAGGAGCGAGGATGGATCGTTATATTTTGTAACTGAGGGATGGCGACAGTTTGGAGAGGGGGCCTCCATCCCAACAGTGGTTATCTCACGGCTTATGATGTACTCATGTATGTTGAACTTCTTTCGCACCGTACGTAGCCAACCGTGCATATCGGCAAGCTGATTATACTCGCCTGTCGGCGAGATGGAAAGAGGGTGTGGCGTTTCACGATTTCGTTTAATCACAATCTTGGGATGGCTGGGCTCGCCTAGAGACACGTGACCTTTTCCTCTTGAAATAAAACTTTGACCTCAAATGCTCGTGTCCATGCTTGTAAATATTCCTATGACGCTTAGCACTCCCTGTCGTGGTATTTCACCTGTATTACACCGGGAGATGAAGGCAATATAAAATGCAGCCTCAATCGCAAGGGTATCCAAGATGAATCGTGATGCAGACACCTTCCCCAAGCACAAACCTTTGGATGCCCGAAACCAAGCGTGACCCCACATCACCAATGAGCTATTTTCAGTAAACATTCTCCAGTTTAATGCATTTATTTTTTTGTCCTGTGCCTGCCTTTAACCAATGCTGGCAATCATAATGTTAATGTGTAACGCACCACCGCACAGTATTTGCTCTTTCTCGTAGAGCAAGAACGTCTCGGATGCACAAGGAACCACAGAGAAGCAGCAAGGCAGCGACGAGATGATCCAGTGCCAATATTTGCCCAATCTCTGCGGTATTGAGGCGTTATCGGCCAACGAATGAGTGTTTACACGTGGGAGGAAACCGGGGCACTCGGGGAAATCCCTATCGCAGCATTTGTGCCATGATCCACCAACCTTCGCTGTCCCCACAGTGCTGGATCACAGGCCACATGCAGGATCATTTACCTGGCTAGCCTGGCTAGCTTGGTAGCCAGCTGAACGCTCTTCCTCATGTGAATGCAAAGTGTGGACTCCACCAGTTCCGAATGTATGGGATAGAGTTTCTCCCCCTCGCATGCGTTGATTTTCTCCGGTTGCTGTGGTTTCCTCCCAATTAATTGCCCCGATGACATCTTGATATATAGAGGAAAGAGGACCGCAGAGCTTGGGAAATGTGTAGTCGCGCCGACTCCATTGCAGAATGAAGGTCCCGCCTGGGAACGCCACGTGGGTTAGTGGGGGGGGAGGGGGCAGGGATCGTTAATTGACCATACTTCACCACGCAAGCCAATGCATTCCACCGCGTTAAGTGCCTTTGAAAGTGACACGAAACCGCGTGGGAGTGACCGGCGTGGCAAGCAGTGGCCACGTGGTGGCGCCATGCCGCCGCCGTCGATACCTCTCGGCGTGTTTTTTGCAGATCGATAATTAAATAAAAAACAGCAAAATTTTTTCCAATATATTATCAACGTAAAACAAAAACAAAATAGTCGCCGTTCGTATTAAACTCAGGGCGCGCGTCTCTCGCGACCTAAACCCGCGGCTCGCGTGAGTCGGAGCCAAATCTAAATAAATAATTAACTCGCTGCAGCCACCGGCCCCTTCCAGAGGCAGCTGGGAGGCCGTGCGGACACCACTCGCAGCGCTCCGAGTAACCAGAGCCGCGACTCAAAACATCCTCTACGGCATCCACGCGGCGTGTCTGTGCTTCTCTAGGTAGATTGTAAATGTAATTTCATCTTTAACACTTTTCTGTAATACAATAAGAGTGACTTGGGGACGCGGTTTGTCCCCGGGCCTAGTGCTGGGTGGGACCCGGACTCCCACCGAGGCCTGACGCTACACTACGTCGACTTCGACGGAATCCCGACCACAGCCATCGACTGTTGCGTTATGTCGCACCTCAACAAGACGCCCGCCGACAAGGAGAGGTGAGCGACAGGGACCTGGGGAAGGCAAAGGGGAGTGAGGATGACCGACTTCACGACGGGCCCACTCACGACCACGGCCTGGCCTGAGTTGCCCGCCCGCCAGCGAAGCCGCTGGGTCGGTACGCGGCGCTAGTCTAGGGCGGTGACGGGTGCGCGAATAACACGGGTTCCGTCACAACTCCTTAACGTTTATAATTATTTCGTTGTTTTAACGCGCAAATTGAGACACTGAGGCGACACAATAAAGTTGCGAGGCATGTCTGCGATTGCAATTTTGTTTGTAATTAAATTTAATCGGTACCCGCCTTGGTCAAATCAACTGCTGGATGGAGGCCTTCACGACTCCGCGATGATCGTGAAACCCTCTGGGGGCTCGCACGCAAACTGATTCCACCGCTCCATCTCCCCGTGGGTACCATCTCTCTCTCTGGGACGCGTTCCCTTCCCTGGCTGACACTCATTCATTAGTCTCGACCACACGCCCACCAACATCCCTTCTCGCCATGACGTGGCCTTCCGAAGCCCCCGTCACTTCATCGCATGGAGATGAAGAAGTCTCCATCCCGCTTGTGTGTTCTCTCATCCTCGTGCTCCTCAGGCTCTCCGAGTCAGTTCGAGCACGTTTCGCGGTTATTGTTCCACTTTCGTTATTTTCCGAAACATATGTCGAAGGCGGACGGTACAGCATCACCACAAGCTATTGCGACTTAACCAACGTGTTTCTCATATAAAACAAAACGTTGATTGCGGAGATGGAGCGATGCAATTAGCTCGCCAGATGGATTCTTACATCGTAGAATCGTGATGACGGCCGCATGGCGATGAGGCCTTCATCCAGCAGTGGAGAGACCACTGCTGATAATGATGAACAAATGGATGGCGTCCGTCTGGTGTCGACATGACGTTAACTGCGAAATCTGGCATCGGGGAAGAAGCGATGGCGTGGCGCGAACGCGTCTGTTGCGAGTGTATGGCCGTGATGACCTCTTGAATGAGTGAGCAGGGTTAATGCATCATCGCGAATTCAGTTTGAGCAGCTGATCATAACCACATCCCTTGAGAGTTGGAAAATACGCCAAAGCAAAATTAGTTGGCATATTTTCCGACATGATAGGCTGTGTCGGGTGGTGGAGGGTTTTTAATTAAAACATTGACATACACGAACTAACCCAAAATAAACTAATTATAAATGCGATGAAATGTTTTACCCATGCTCCAATGTCAGGAGGTTCGTGGAATTACTATGCGCTGAGAATCATCACCGGTGTTTATGATGCGACACGGTCTCATCCCACCCGTGATGCCCCGTCTTGTTTGTGGCGTGTTGCCACAGGTTCGTCTGCATCTACCCCGCGTACCTGAACAGCAAGAAGACGATAGCGGAAGGGAGGAGGGTACCAAAGGATAAGGTGAGGGGCGGCTCTCGTCGTAAATCATCGTAATTAAACACGTCCCTTCGGAGTGGGCAGGTAGGAACTTGGTTGGTCAGCGAATTCGTGCACGACAGACAATTATGCGTGACAGACAAATAATCCCTGGTGGGCAGTGTGGAACCTGTTGTTCCTACCTGTATAATTAACGTACAATCTTGATTACGTACAGCAGCTTGTCTCTGTCAAGCCACTGCTCAGTTAGGGCCTCCCTATGCCGTGTCTGTCAAGCGTGCCTTGTTTGACCCTTAACCATCCCCCCGAGTGCGGATTGGTGAAGTGTGCACCGAGAAACGGTTCAGAATTTTCCCGGCCGCCACTGATTTAGCTGTGGCCAGGAATCAAACTTGGTTCGCCCGGTTTGGAGCGCAGTGCACCCCGCAATCCTCTGTTGTCAACACTTCTCTGCTTGACGTTTAGTAATTGCTACTCATTGGCCAATTAGGTGTTTACCAATTGGAATCTCGGTGTGTGTGTGCCATCAGGCGGTGGAGAATCCGACCTACGTGGAGATCAGGGATGTCCTCGTAGCGGCGGGCATGAACGTTGTGGTAGAGGTAAGGCCTCAACGTACTCCATCGCTGGAGCTGGGACGGACGGTCGGTCGGTCAATCAAGTCGACTGAAAGTTCAAATCGTCGATTTGTATGAAAAATAAGAATAGGTTTGACCCTTTTTGGCAATAAAACTGGTGTTAAAATGTTCAAACACCAAATAGAAACCTTTTGCAAGGAATCAAGTCTGCATTAACCACACCGACTTGTGGTGAACATGCAAACCAACATCCGTGATTATAATATTTGGCATTGTCTTTGAAACTCATTGGCCGACACCAGAGACAGCCTTCTTCATGGCCTCGTCTCACCAGTGTCAGGCCAGAGAACGCCAAACGAGGAAGAGTACAAAGCCAATGCACTTATCAGAGTATTTATATCTCGGGGTGAGCAGCTGTATCATGGGACCTTTTGGCATTGAGTGTATAAATGCATGAGGGTGAGTGACACTATAGCCCCGTGTGAAACATGGCAGGGTCTTCCCTCGTGATGATAGCCCTGCACTATAAGAAGGATTGCGCCAACACCAAATGTTGCGAACTTGTGCGGATTGCGGTGCTCGTGTGACCTTGTGGCCTCTGCGGTCCGCAGAACAAGATGTACCCCCGCGAGTGGAACCGCGACGTGCAGTTCCGCGGACGGATCCGCGTGCAGCTGAAGAACGAGGACGGCTCCCCAGTGCTGGAGGCCATCCCCACTCGTGAGTCCAGCACACGTGCACAACCCCCTCATAATTAAGAATGGTAATGAACAATAATAAATTATTAATGATGGCAGGGGGAAAAGAGTTCCCTACAGTGATAATAACTGATCAAATTTGGTATTGGCGGTATGGTTTCGATAGCGAAGGGCGATCGTCAAAAAAGGAAGGGGCAGCTGTTTCACAGGCGCAGTTCTGCAGTGGTTTCACAGTAAGGGGGCGATGTTTCTGCTGTGTGATTCTAGTTGTCATTTTTAAAGAATTGGCAAATTTGGACCATGACGCCACGGTTCAAATTACCTCATGATATCTTTGACATCAGCTGTTAGTTAAGGAGACAGGTACGTAGCAGTATTATTATGGTTCATCGGGACAGCCACTGGATTCCGACCTCTGCAACATCCTGGCGAGCCAGGGTATGGCACCTCAACGCCCGCAGGAATGGAGCTTAACATTTTTGCGATCCACCACCCTTGCTGCTTCCAGTGCTGGATTACAGGTGTGCATAACCACCACTGCCCGTCTACATGTAAACACTCATTAATTGGCCGAAACATCTTATTACATATAGGGGACCGCAGAGCTTGGGCAATTGTTGGCATCGGCTCACCGCCTTGCTGCTGCTGCTCGTCCGAGTCCCACCTGTTTGTGGTTCCTCTTCATGCCCCGAGCCGTTCTCTCTCATTCGAGAGTGAGCAAACACTGCGGCGCGTTCCAAGTTGAAATTGTCACGCAGTTATACGATGCTATTTAATTCTTTATTGTATTAGTACCGGTAGATGTGGACTAAGTCGCTAATTCATTCAAACGTCAGGCTTTGAGGTCGGGCGCAATGGTGACCTGTGTTGCGAATAATCGTGCGTTACTGATGGAGAGACGATGACGTGATCTCTCTGTACGGTGTGGCGCGCAGGCCAGGCACTCTTCACCTACACGGCCGACATGATCCCCAAGCTGAAGGCGCGTACAACCAAGACGGGCGGCGCCGAGCCGGCCAGCCAGCCCGGCGACAGCAGCCGCAAGGGCAAGAAAAAGAAGAAGTGATGCCGCCAACACCGTCACCGTCATGGCTCCTCTCTCATCCTCGACTTCAGATTCACGAACCAGCGACACCTCTTCACCCGTCTTCTCCATCTTCTCCGTCATCGCGTACCACCCCGTTAACGGGCTCTACAGCGCTTGTCAGGATAACTGTTCCACAAATCTAAAACGTGACAGCCGCACACACTTGGGACTGTTCCTTCCCCTTGTCGGCTCAAAGTACGACCGTCTTCGAGTTCTGTGTGGGTCAGCTCATGTGAATTTGTACCTCTTGGCTAAAGGCCACGATCCACTGGGGCAATTTTAGGGCAAATGTTGTCTACAATGCATTAACCATGAACGACCAAGGCAACTTGAGTCGGCAATGGAATGGTGTGAGATAGATCGCTCTAGCCAATCAAAGCATAGCTTGATTACAAGTGTGCATGCTGAACAATCTGGTTCATTTACAGACTGTAAATGAACCGGATTACAGATGGGGTAGGCAATGTAGTTACTATCTGAGGGATGGGGTAGGCCCTAGTACAAGTCATTAGTTGATTGGGGATGGGTAGGCCGAGTACTCGATGATTAGGTATGGGTCAGGACTAGTTAATAGGTTAGTCAACTTGTCATGCCGTCATTCCTTTATTGAAGTCAGCCAGTCAATACATAACTAAACAGAAGAACAATCGGAAGGCTTTCTCTTCCGTCTGCCCAGATCCCACTCATGCTGGATTTGGAAGCTGACATTTTTTTAAAGATGCATGTAGTGTGACGCCATGAGGCAGTGCTGTGCCCTCTGCCCATCTGATTGGAAGTTCTTGCCCCGTTCCCACGAGGGGGCAGCTTGAATCTGAATTGAGTTTTCTACAATGAGAAATCCCACGGTGACAATTGCCCTTGAAATGTTCGGAGTGGGTCATGGCCTTAATAAGAGCTGCCATAGAATAATTGCATGTCCATGGGTACTGCATGGTCTGCAGTTTACCTACCACCTTGTGCTGTCTTACAAAATAAAGTAATGTATGTCCTCTGCTCAAGGCTTTGGTGTGAGCATCTTTTCGCGAAGGGCACGCACCAAGGCAAGGTGGCGCCCCTCGCCTGCACTTCAGTTCCCAGCACGCCGAGCAAAACGTAGAACAACACAGTCCTGCAGGTTATACCAATTTATTGTCAATTAACTCATTTACATTAACAATTCCTCATATAGACTGGAGTACAGCGCATTAAAAAAGCAAAATCTCATACATTCAGGGTAGTTCGCACAATGGTTTCCACGTCTACTTCTGCATAAACGAACGGGAGGATGGGGGGGGGGTTAGGGAGTACAGCCTGGCAGCTAAGCTCTAGCTTCTCAATGAAGCAATCCCTGTGTGCAAACGCGTGTCCTCGGGACTGTCCGTCTCAGCCCTTTCCCCTGTCTCTTAAAGCAAAAGCGCTGCCGAGTCGAGTGTCGGGACGCCTTCAGCGACGATGGCGTGCCGCCGACCCACGAGGGAAAGAATGGCCGTCTCGTTTGGGCCCCGCTCGCGACCACCAATGAGAAAGGCGTCGGGGCCAAAACGGTGTTAAGGTCGCGGAGGAGGGAAGAGTTGGCAATCACAAGCCAGGTTTGGCCTCGTCGATGAAGAATAAATTAGATGGAACGGCGAGATAAAAACTCAGGCCCCTGTCGTTAAGTTTATCGTACGTTTTAAATCGCACACGGTTCGCTCACGGGGAGTCCTGCCAATGGGCGGTCTCCGTGTTCGTCATAATACTCTTGAGAGGGCAGTTCAACACCGAGGTCAATTGCTGACAATCATAATTACACGAGTGAAAAGCTACTTGTTACACAACAGACGACACACACTGCTACGTGACCCCCAGACCGCTGCAGAGTTCTCCTCGACGGCACCAATGCCTGCGCGCCGTCACGCTCGCAAGCCGGCGAGAGCACGGCGCCATCGGCAACGGGCGACATCCCACAAAGTAACCCTCTTGCAGACCGCCGGAACGCCGGCGACAGGAACAAAGACGCGCGTTGTACGCATTAAATATTGACCAGGCTGTACAATCGCACATTAAAGCATCCCGCTAATGAGGACGAGTAGTGTGTTTCCAGTGGATACACGAGCACTGCTTAAAAGACTCGCGAGCGCTGACAGCAGTAGTAGTTGTAGTGGCGAAGGGGTGGATTTATGGCTTGTGGGGTGAGCCCAGAGGAACTAAAACTTACGAAAAGGTCATTGGGGGGTGTAAAATAGAAAAGAAACCCCACAACACACACCGAGACACAATCCATTGCTATGTACAAACCGTTATGCCTGCCGGAGTGCAGCAGCAGCATGCCATTGCGACAGTAAACACTGAGAAACCACGACAAGCCCAGGATCAAGATGCAACTCTCGGGGTGGGTGAGGTGGGGGTGAGATCTGGAAAAAACACAGCCTACTATCAAGTAGTCAAAATGAGTCGATTAAAACTTCAAATAATTCATAAGTTGGTTTGAACTTTTTTTTTGTTCAATAAATAAAAGTGAGTTCCACCGTTTAAGTTAACTTCATTGGAACGCACTTCACATTGCAAATTCTAGGTAAAAACGTACACCTTGATTTATTTTGTCGCGGTTCCGCCCACAGTAACACATCGCTCTCGTCACGCACAAACAGAAAAAAGTGCAAACCCATCCCCCCACCCCCCTTCCCACACCCTTGGCGTGTTCACCGCAGTTCGGTCATCGTCGGGATTATTATTTTCATCGTCATAATCGGCGACACCGCGGGCGGCGGCGGCACGCGAAGGCGTCTCGACCCCCCCGGCTCACACGGACGTGACGAGGTACGACCCCGAGTGCAGCTTGGTGTTGGCGTCATCGGCGTCGCCGCCGCCGCCACCGCCCTCCGCCTTCGGCTCCTCGTGCCGCTTGCCAACAACGGGCGTGGGAATCTGGGACGGCCTGGCCGCCGCCACCACCACGCCGCCACCGCTGCCGGCACCGCCGCCAACGACAACGGCCCCGCTACTGGCGTCGGCGCTGGACTTGCGCGGGCTCGGCACGTAGTTGAAGGGTGTGACGCGCACGGAGACGGCGCCGCTCGGGGAGCTGTGCTTGCTCGAACTGTTGGAGCTGAACGGCGTCTTCTCGCTCAGCGTCGGCTGCGACTCCAACTCGGGCGACTGCTGCCCGGCGGACGGCGGACGCTCGCGTTCCCGCTCGGCATCGCCGCCGCCGCCGCCGTCGGCCTCGTGGTTGAGGCTCAGCGTCGACGCGTCTCTGCTGCACGTCCCGCCCTCCGAGAAGTCGTCCAGGCCCGACTGGCTCGTCTTGTCGGGCGACGTGGCTGCTCCGTCGCTGCCGCTCGCCGACTTGCTCGAGCGCGGGTTGTTGATGGGGCAGTCCTCGATGCGCACCCACACGTCCTCCGTCTTGGAGACGGCGGGCGCCATCCGCAGCGCCGGCTCGTGGTTGGCGTGCGCGTCCACGTTCTGCTGCTGCTGCGGCGGTGGCGGCGACGCGCTCACGTCCGCCGCGTCTCTGAGCTTCCGCCAGGTGCCCCGCGACCGGTGGCCGCTCTCCCCGCCGGACGGGCCGTCTGAGATTCCCGTCCCGTGCACGGGGCCCGTCTTGGAGGCCCTGTCCGTTGTCAAGCGCTGGCCAGACTGCAGCGCATTGCTGCGCTTCTCAGTCGCCGCCTGGCCAGCCTGCGCGTTTGGGTGAAGCTTGTCCGGACGGCCTTTCCCGCCGTTGGGAGGGTGACCCTTGGCTCCTCCCCCTCCTCCTCCCCCTCCTCCCAGGGCTTTGAACACCGCCGCCCCCTGCCGAGGCTTCACGTCCTCGCTCCTCGTCTTGTCCGACGACTCGGAGGAGGCGGACAGGATGGAGGAGGAGCTGCCCACCCGCCGCCAGGTGCCCACGCGGGGCAGCGAAGAGCTGTGCTTGCTGCCCTCGCGCTTCCACGTGCCCGAGCGGCCCGTGGGGACGCGGGTGGGGCTGCGCGACTGCGATCGGCTCGGCCGCGCTCGGGCGCCGTTGCCGGCGCGCTCCTCCGCTAACCCCGCGCCGCCCCCTCTCCCCTCGAGGCCTCGCTCCGAGTTGGGCGACAGCTCGGGCAGCCCCGACACGGACTCGCACGACGCCGACTCCTTCAGCTTCTTGCGGAGGTCCGGGCTCGGCGTCTCCTTGATGAAGGTGGACTGCCGCACCAGCGCGGGTTTGTCCGATCGCTCCGACTCGCTCTCGCTCGACCTGGTGGACGACATCCGCGCCAGCTCCGCGCGCTTCGCCGGGATGCCGCCGCTCCTGCCGCTCGTCTGCGCCACCATCTTGGCTCCGGGGGATCCCCGGGCGCCCGCGGGCTCCGGCCGTCCGACGGCCCCGTTCCCGTCGACCCTGCTCCCCGCCGCCACCGCCGCGCCGCCGGCCTTGGGCGGCGTGATCTGCCGCGGGGGCGTGGAGGAGCCCAGGGAGCGGCTGGAGGGCAGGCAGGACAGGTTTCCGCTGGTCGGGAGGCAGGCCAGGTTCCCCGAGCTGGACGATCGCGACGAGGGGGCGTTGGGGGACGACGTGCCGGCCGACGTCTGCCCGCTCCTGCCCCCCGCGGCGGCGCCGCGCGCACCGTTGCGGCCCGACGGGAAGGAGTTGCGTCCGGGCGACATGGAGGCGCGCCCCGGAGAGAGCGACTTTCGCGCCGGGGACTGGAGGCTGCGGGCGCTGGCCAGCTGCTCCAGCCGCGAGCCCACGGCCTTGGGCGTCACGGGGCCCAAGCTCAGAGACGGCCTCGCCGCGGAGCTCATGTCGGAGCGCGCCGGCGCGCTGATGGAACGGCTCGTGCCGGCCGGCGCGCGCGCCGACGCCGGGCTCTTCGAGCCGACCGGCGTCTTGGCGACCGGCTTCTTCGGGGCGGGGCTGGCGGTGGGGGAGGGGTTCCTGAGACCCGGCGACGGTGCGGTGGCCCGGCCCCGCGTCACGATGGGCACCACGGCCGCCGGCGGCTGAGCGGGGCGAGACAGGCACGGCACCGCCGAGTCCGAGCTGGGCCGCGCCTTCCCCGTGATGCCGCTGCGGTACACCTTCTTGCCTCCCTTGACAGCCTTGGGCACCGCCTCCTCGTCTCCCTTGCGCCACTCGCCGCCGCCACCGCCGCCGCCCTTCTCCGCGGCCTTGACGATGCGAGGGCCACCGCCGCGGCCGCCGGACAGCGACTTGTTCTCGTGCTCGGGCGTCATGTGGAGCGGCGAGCCCAGCGAGAGGCCCGACACGAGCGAGAGGATCGAGTCCGAGTCGGAGGAGGCGCGCCGAGACAGGCACGCGGCCGCCTGGTTCAGGCTGCTCACGATCGAGTTGGCGCCCTCCTGGATGGCCTTCCAGTCGAAGCTCTCCGAATCGGGCGAGCCGATCTTCTCGGAGCCGGGGCTGTCGAACCGCTCCACGGGGACCCCACCCTCGCGGTTCACGGCCGCTGCCCCGCCGTCCCTCTCCGGCTCCACGGTGCCGGGACCGTGGTCCCTCACGGCCGCCTCCTGCCCGCGCGCTCTCAACCTCCTGACGAACGGGTCGGGGGGGGCGCCGCCGTCGTCGCCGGCCGCCCCCTGCTCCTTGGCCTCGGCCTTGCGCGTGCGCTGCTGCTTGCGCCGCTGCGGCATGGCCGACGAGATGCACTCCTGCAGCAGGTCGTCCTCCGAGTCGACGCTCAGCGAGCTGAGCGAGCTGTTCCTCGAGAAGCACACGGGAGTGTCCTCCACGCGGAACGCCCGCGGAGCGTAGGCCGACGGCTCGGCGGCCTTGGCCCGCGCGGGAGGCCTCTCCGTGGCGCCGGCCCCCTCGCCGCCGCCGGCCGTGCGCGCCCCTCCCCGGTTGTTGTTGTCGCGGTCGATGTCGCTCAGCGAGCTCAGCGAGGAGTTGCGCGAGAAGGACACGGGCGTGTCCTCCACCGCAAACCTCTGCACCTGCTCCTCCAGGCCGCTCCCCCTCTTGTCCGCGTTCTTCTCGGCACGCGGCAGCTGGCTCGTAGGCACGAGCTTCGGCAGTCCCTTGGGCAGCTTTGTTCCCGGCTTCTGGCCCTCCTCCGGGATGGCCGCCGGCTTGTGGACGCCCTTGGCGGCCGGCGGCCCCGACTTGGGGCCCTTGTGGTAACCGCCGCCTCTTCCGACGGCGCTGGCCTCTCCCGATTTCTTCCCCGGGCCCCTGGCCCCCCCCGAGGGAGCGTCGGTTGCCGCCCCGTCCGTCTCGAGTCCCGCCTTGTCGCCGGCGAGGTCCGTCTCGTCGTCCTCGAAGTCGAGCGAGCTGAGCGAGTCGTTTCGCGAGAAGCAGTACGGCGTGCCCTCGATGGGCGTGAAGTGGAGCGGCGAGTCCGACGAGAAGCCGGGCCGCGGCCGCTCTTCGCGCGCCGCCGCCGGCGGGCCCCGGTGGCCGCCTCCGCGTGCCTCGTGCCTGGCCGGCGGCCTCCTCGCCGGCGCCGGCGCCGCCTCCCCGCCGTCGCGCCGCTCCGCCGTGTCGTCCGCGGTCAGGTCGCCGAGCGAGGTGGCCGCGGAGAAGTTGACGGGTGTCCCTTCGGTGCGGTACGTCTCGAGCGAGTCGTTTGCCGGTGTCGGCTGCAGGAGCAGGCGGCCCTGCGCCGCCGAGCGCAGGGAGGGCAGCTTCGACTTGGCCGATTCTCCCCCGGCCGCCGGGCCCTGCTGCATTTGGTCCATGATCTTCTTGACCCGGTGCGGTTTGTGGCTTTTTCCCTTGGGCATCGCGGAGCTGATGCACTCGGCGAGGATGTCGTTCTCCGACGGCTTGGCGCCACCGGCACCGGGGGTCCCCGCGGCGGCGCGGCCGCCCTCCTCCTCGTCGTTGCTGCGCCCTTCCGTGGGGACGGCGTCCCGCTGCTCGGCGGCGTCGCCGCCCGCGCCGACTTCGCCGGTCGCCTCGTTGGGCGGCGAATCGAAGGTGAGGTCGCTGAGCGACGTGGCCGTAGAGAAGTTGATGGGCGTCCCCTCCGTGCAGTACACGTTGGGCACGTCCCGGTTGAAGATCTCGCTGGTGAAGCTCACGTGCTTGGGCGCCTGCACGGGGAGGCGTGTGCCGCCGCGGGCCTGGTACAGCGGCAGCTGGCTCGGCTTCTTGGGCGCCGCCGCCGCCGCCGTGCGGCCCTTCGCGCCCAACGCCTTGTGCGACGGGGCGGCGGCCGCATCCTTCTTCTGCTTGGCCGCCGTGGACTTTGTGGGCATCGCCGAGTTGATGCACTCCTCGAGGATGTTCGAGTCGTCCTCCGAGTCCTCCAGCGCCTCCGCGCTGCCGCTCTCCTCGGCGCGGCGACCGCGGCGCGCCCGCTCGGCCGGCGTCGCCGAGTTCTGCGCCGCCTCCGGCGACGCGGCCTCGGCGGCCGCCTCCTCCACGACGGCCGCCAGCGCCGCGCCGCGCAGCTCCGCGTCCTTGGCGATCGGCGGCTCGTCCATGCTGAGCGCGCTGAGGCTGGACGCGCACGAGAACCCGTCCGGCGTCGCCTCCGTCTCGAAGTGCAGCAGCGAGTCCCGCGACTGGGTGCCCTGCGCGCCGGCGTCCGCCTTGCCGCGCCACGGCTGCCGGCCCCCGTCCGGCTTGGCGCCGCCCTCGCCGGGCCCCTCGCGGCCCTCGTCCTCGTCGTCCGGCCGCTCCGACCGCAGCCGCGGCGGCGGCGGCGTCTTGCTGCGGCTGGGCGGCATGGTCTGCCCGGGGCTGTCGGGCAGCTCGCTGGGGCTGATGACGCCGCTCACCGTGCCGCTCACGGGGTCGCTCTGGATGGAGCTGGCGATAGACGAGTCGGGGTAGCTGTCCAGCGAGCTGACCGAGCTGCACCGGCTGAACACGAGCGGCGTCTCCTGCACGTAGTGGTCCAGCGGACTCTTGGGCGTCTGCGAACCGGACTTGGACGGCGACTTGGCGCCCGAAAAGTCTACCGTCTTGTGGTGCGCCCCCTCGCCCTGGTGCCGCGCCGCCTTGGCGCGCCGCGCCGCCGGCGACGGCTCGGGGCTCTCCTCTTCCCCGGCGCCGGCGCCGTCCTCCGCCAGGTCGACGATCCGGATGTCGGCCCGGCCGGCGCCGGACTTCCCGCTCGGTGGGTGGTGCGACGTCTCCATGCCGTCGTCGGCGCTGCTCAGCGAGGACAGCGAGCTGCAGCGCGAGAAGCAGATGGGCGTGCCCTCCAGGCAGAAGGTCTGCATCTTGTCGCCGCTGGCCGCCTGCCTGTTGGCGTACAGGCCGGGCTCGCCGGCCCCCCCCGCCGCCGCGTTGCCGTCGCGCGCCGCCAGCTTGCCGACGCGCACGTTGGCAGGCTTGCCGGCCACGTGCGCCGACTCCTTCTCGGCGCTCATCTTTTTCACGCCCATGAAGAGCTTGTGCCCCGTGGGGCCGTACTCCGCCGGGTACTTGAGGCTGTAGTCGATGGGCTCGTCCCGCACGCGTCCCTTCTCCGGCAGCTTCATTCGGTACCCGCCGAGTGCCGCCGCCTCCGCCTCCTCCTCCTCCTCCTGGTTCTCCTCCTCCGAGTAGCGCTCGCTGTAGTTGGTCGGCTTGTCGTCCTCGTAGTCGTCGTCCTGGCAGTCCGCCGCGTTGATGCGCCGCTCGACGGGTGGCTCCCTCTTGCCGCCGCCATCTCCGCCGCCGCCCGGCCGCATCGGGTAGAAATGCGCGGCGGCCTCGTGCTGCGGCGCGTACTGTGGCCGCTTGCAGTAGCCGGGGAACTGGCCGGCGAGGCCCTTCTCCTCCGCGCTCTGCTTGTCGCCGCTCTCCGCTTCCTGCTTCTGCCGCACCCACACGTCGCTGCCGCGGCTCGGACTCTGCCGGCCCGAGTTGAGCTGCTCGTCCGAGTACTTGAGGCTGTAGTTGATGGGCGTGTCCGTCTCCGAGTCGTTCTCGTCCAGGTGGTTGGCGCTGTGAATCTTCTGCGCCAGGTCGGGCGGGTACTTGCCGTAGCTGTGGTACTTCCCCTTCTCCTTCTCGAAAGCCGCAGAATCGGACGGCGCCTTCCCCGACGCGCCTTTGGAGTGCGCGGTCTTCCCACCGGCTCGGCCTCCGTCCCTGTGCGCCGCCTTGAACTCCACGCCGCCGTAGTGGTACTGGAAGCCGCGGCTCTGCCCGTCCGCCTTGCCGTAGCCGGGCGCGTTGGGCTGCGGGTACGAGGTGCCGCCCCCGCGTCCGTCCGACGACAGCGACCTCGCCCCGTCGACGGAGGACGCCGAGCTTCCCGCCGCCGCCGCGGCGTCCTCGATGGCCCAGGCGACGCGGGAGTGCTTGCTCACATCCGGCACCGCCTCCATCGCGCCGCCCACGCGGTACGCGTCCGCGGCCCTCGGCTCGCGCTCCGCGCCCAGCGCCGGCGACTCCCCCTTGGCGCCATCGGCCGGCAGGTGGTGCCGCTCCTTGGGGTACAGGTTGTGGTGGTGGTGCCCGTGCAGCAGCGGCGAGTTGACGAACGGCGACAGCGCCACCGGCTCGCCTCCGCCGCCGGCCGCGGCGTCCGCCCGGCACACGTTCACGCCGTTCTTGCGCCCGCCGCCGCCGCCGCCGTCCAGCACGTACTCGCTAACCAGGCCGTGCCGCTGGGGCTTGTGCGCCGACTTGCTGCGGTGCTGCGCCTTTGGGCTGAGGTTGTCGATGTTGTCGAAAGTCTCCGTCAGGTTCTGGGCGTCCAGCTCGGCCTCCAGCGCCCGCTGCTTGCGCACGGCGAGCGTGGGCATGCCGGAATCCGGTGACAGGATGTTGGCGTCCTTGTACTTGGCGGGCCGGTTGGCCATGAGGTTGCGCAGGGCGGCGGCGCTGCCCATGGCGATCATTTTGTGCTTGGAGTGAATGAGGTTCTTGAGCATGGCGACGGCGCCCATGTCCCAGAGCGCCTCCTGGTCGCGCGCGTTGCGGGCCGACAGGTTCCAGAGCGTGCCGCACGCGTTGCTCACGATGGTCAGGCTGTGCGACTTGAGGTGCTGCAGCAGCGTCTGCAGGCAGTTGTGCTCGCGCAGGATTTGCCTGGGGGCGAGGGGAAGGCGAGGGGAGGGGGATGTGAGGGAGAGGGGAGGGAGAGGGGAGGGAGAGGGGAGGGAGAGGGGAGGGAGAGGGGAGGGGGATGTGAGGGAGAGGGGAGGGGGATGTGAGGGAGAGAGGAGGGAGAGGGGGATGCGAGGGGAGGGCGACACCAGCTTCGTAACGACTCAGCGGCAGCAGTAGCAGCAGCAGCGTCGCGAAACCCTCCCACCAAATACTACGACAAACCTAGCAGAACCCTCAATAAAATATAAAAAACTAAAGATAAAGATCCCCTATATAGCCTTTAACAGACTATTGGGGCAAGCGCTGTGAGCGAGCACCTATGAAGGACGGCACGGCAAACGAGGGGGTGGATGACCAGCACCATGCCAGCCGCCTTTGTCTCCCTCGTAGCGATGATTACACATCGCACCAGAGGCCCAGGGCCGATTCAAATAATCGTCACTGGTGTTTGGCCGTGAGCGGAAAACGAACTCGCCGCTCCAAGTACATGCGCACGCTCACACACCTTCGCACACGCTCGCACACACTCACACAAGCTCACACACGCTCACACACCTTCACACCACACGCTCACACACATGCTCACACATGCTCACACACGCTCACACACGCTCGCACACGCTCGCACACGCTCGCACACCTTCGCACACGCTCACACACCTTCACACACCTTCACACACGCTCACACACGCTCACACACCTTCACACACGCTCACGCACGCTCACACACGCTCACACACGCGTAGCATTGTCGGCGCTCACCTGTAGTCCTCGTTGGTGGCGATGAGGCTGGAGACGTTGCGCAAGATGCCGCCGCCGCTCTCGATGATGGCGAGCGTGTTGGTCTGGCTGCGGTAGGCCAGCGTGTCCACGAGGAAGCCCAGCGCGCCCACCACCGCACAGATGTCCGCCTTGTTCTCCGTGCAGTGGGCCGACAGGTTCCAGAGGGCGCTCAGCACGCTCTTGAGCGTCGACTCCTGTGAAACCCGTACGCCCGCCCCACCATCATCACATCATCACATCATCAGCATATATATATATATATATAATGAGTGTGTTGGTGAGCAAGAGGGTGAGTGGATGAATGATGTGGGCGGGTGAACGATCCAGGTGGGTGGGTTGGCGAGTGGACGAGCGACACTTTATCATCAGAGAAACATTAAATACTCCCAAATATCACTGTCAGCAGTAGCAGAACAAGCGTGCCAACCAGGACACTCAATTGGTTTAGATAATGTTGAAGTTATGTGCAAGACTAGCTACTACTGGCCAAGACTGATTAGAGAATCTATCGAAATTGAAAGAATAAAAATAATTTTAACCGTTCGGATAGCTCCCGTCTTAGTGCTGCGTGGAAGCGAATCATCAAATAATACATTATTTAAATGATGCCTACAAAGAGCAGCATACTTCAATAGGGATTACCGTTGGCACTTTGCACAAGAGCGCAGAAGCGTGGTCACCACATCTACTACCCCTCTATATAAGGAACGAAACAGGTGGACTTCTCCACAAATCTGGCTGTCGCCTGATGAAGCTGGTTGTAATTACTTGCGAAACGTCGAACTCAGATTGTAAATGTAGTGGCTTGGCTCTCTAGTGACGAATTGGCACGTTCTGTTTACGTGACAACCCTTACTAGTTGGCCCTGTCAGGTGGTGGCGAGATTAACGACACATTTATATATGTACGTGGCGATCTAACCCAAACACCTCTATTATGGACACTATACCCCTGCCTTCGGCCAATACCACGTGCGATGAAGAAATCCAACTATTACTTCGGAAGCTAAATCTGCCGCTTACCTTCTTCACCTCCAGGGCGCACTTGGTGAGGGCCGAGACGCTGCCCACCTCCCGCAGGATCTTCTTGCTCGTGACGTCCGCTCGCCACGAGAGGTTGCGCAGGACGCTGGCGATCACCTGCGGCACGCACACCACGGCCGGCGGTTAGAGCCCCGCCGAGTTTGCGGCAGCCACCCCACGCTCAACCCCCCCCCCCACCCTATGCCCTCCACCTGCTGTTTTCAGCAAACGGCGCTCTTCCGTGCAGCAGCGTCGAGGCCCTGATGTTGCCTCTTCCCTCCTAATTCTCTTCATCTCGCCTGATCCTTTGGCTCCCGTTTCTCCCTTATTTTTCCACGATTTTCCTCTAATTTCCCACTATTCTTTCTCTTCTCTTAACTCTTCCTATCTCTGTTCTCATTACATTAGCATCCTCGACTCCACGACCTTTCCCTGTGGTTACCATTAGTGTCGTCGTGTTCTTACCTGTCGGAGATCCTCGCTGTCAGCCTTCAGCTGGGCCACCATGCCACGCATGCAGCCCCGCATCGAGCACAGCGTGGCCTGCGTACGAACACAGCAAGCAGCACGCACACGCCACGCACACGTCACGCCACACGCCATGCACACGCCACGCACACGCCAGGCACACGCCACGAACACGCCACGCACACGCCATGTACACGCCACGCACACGCCACGCACACGCCAGGCCACACACGTAGGCAGGGGATATGTTGATTGTACAGGGCAGACAGAAAGGAGGGGGTTGGCAGTAGTTCCACAAATTAGCTTCAGTCAGCTTTTATAAGCAGTCCTCACGCTGTACACGGTGGCCATGAGCACGCGGGTGACTCTCAGCGGCCGAGGCTCGCCATAAGAAGGTTCAGAGTTCAAATCTTGGTTGGGGGTGGGGTTGACTCGGCCCATCATCATCCCTCCAGGGTTGATAAAAGAAGCACCACTTTGTGGTAGAAGTCAACAGTGGCTGTCCGATGGTTAGACTCGCACCCCCCTCCGCCACCACTCCCGCCATGGGAACTTGCAACTTCCACCACTGGCTCTGCAGGGCTTTACACATAAAGACGAGCTACATTTGAACAGGAAACTGCTGACTTTGTAGAAGCACAATTCTGATATAAGCAACATGTGCTTGCATTACACTGGTGGGTGGGGGGGTGGTGGAAAATTAGGGCAACTTCTGATACAAGCACACGACTGGTAATTACCGACGACCTTCAACATGCCCAGCATTACAATTAACTTTTGGGTCAGATGGTCGCGTAGAATGTGTGGGCCGTGCACCCTTCCTCCACCTGAAATTGTCTGGTGAACAAACGCGGCCAATTTATTACTGCTTCAAAGCAGCACCACCGCTGCGTTGGAGAGTGATCCACACGCATTGAGAATGTCAGGTGCGGACATTTCGCCAGTAGTTTCAACAACCATCATCAGGCAGTTGCCAGAATTGTGACAATGTTCTCCCGTCTCAGGCCGTATCCGTGACCTGCAAAGTGAAGCCCCCGCAAGGGGTGGAGCCGTGGTGCAGCGGCAGTTAGAGAACCGCCCCGTGACCCCGGGCCACCCGAGTTCGATGCCCGGCTACGGCTAACCTCAGTGGCGAGTAATTTCCTTTCACCAACGCGCACCAATCAATTCTACACTCGGTGCTTGATCACGGCCGATGACAACGATGATCCTTGTCCCCGGCGAGCCCTCCCCGGTGGTCTCCGCGGCGGCGCAACGGGCCGGGCGGCGTCGGCACGCACCTTGTTGGCGACGTCACCGAACGTCAAGTTGGTGAGCGCCATGCCAGCGTAGCGCCGCAGCGTGACGTTGTACTGGTCGCTCGTCATCGCAAACATCTCGCAGTCGGCCTGCAGCAGCTCGGCGATCGCCTGCAGTCCACCTGCAGGGAGCGCCAGCGTGTATAGTTACTCTCCGGCTCAATCACCCGCTCGCCCACCTGCTCGCACACTCACTCACTCGCCTGCTCAGCCGCTCACTCGCTCACACACCTGATCCCCCCCACTCACTGTCGCTCACCAACATGCACACTCCCGATTCATACATTCACTCGCTCACCAGCTCACTTAACCACCCACCACTCGCTCTCTCGGACTAGCTCACTCCGACTGGCGCACTCCTCACTCGCGTCACCCCGGCGGCCACGAGAGCCGCCACCCGGTGCGGTGCTGCCCTCACCGAGCTCGTTCATGGCGTGCCGGTGGTCCTCGTCGAACGACAGCTTCATGAGCACGCAGATCGCCGGCCCGATCTGATTCTCCACCGGCGATGGCTCTGTCATCGCACGGAGCCGGGGGCAGCACACAGTGGAGGGGGGGGGGGGGGAACGTCGGACAAATGAGCGGTGTGCCCGAGGGGTGGAGGGGCCACTTTGTTCCGACAGCAAAACATGCGGGGGTGCTCGCGGCAGATGTGGCACGCAGTCAGGCGGCACATCTGGCTCGTCGGGGAATCTTGTCAGCACCACGCCGCTGTTGGCGTTGGGTCACGAGGCCGAGAACTTGTTCCGCGACACCGCCGCCCCGTGAGGGCCCGCGGTGAGAGGCGCGTCTGAAGATCTCCCTCGAGTGAACTCGCTGCGGTCTGACAACCCACTTTGATCGCAGGCGGTCGCCGAGATTCAAACCCAGGTCTCTAAGCGACGGTGCCCCGACCCCGTGAACACCACATTGCACCACGACACACTTGGTCCCACGACACAGCTGCGGACGTACAATTGCCAAGGAACGGAGGCGGTACAAACAGAACGTGTTTAGATTTCTGAGCCAGCTGGCCAGGACTGGGCCAGCGCACAGCTCGTTTTCCACCCAGGCAACCGGAGAGTCTGTGCCCTCCGGATGCCTATCGTGACGGTGGTGCGGTGGTGCGGTGGTGCGGTGGTGCGGAGGTGCGGTGATGCGGTGGTGCGAAGGCGGAGCCCCTCCTTACTGCCGACGGACGAGACGTCGGCGGCGATGGCGGACGCCGCGGCGCCAACGCCGCCGGCGGCCTCCCTGCCGTCCTGCCACTCCCAGCACGCCTCGCAGTAGGCGCGGATCTGCTCCAGCAGGTGGAGCACGCGCATCTCGCGGTGGCCGCGCTTGTCGTCGGGCTGCGAGTGCACGATGTTGTGGAGCGCCGCGCTAGCGCGCGCCCGCGCCTCCCGGTTGCCCTTGGCAGCGCCGAGCAGCGACGAGTCCTTGTTGTTGCCGTGCAGCAGCTGGATGAGCAGCGGCAGGCAGCCCGACTGGCGCATGGCGATGCAGCTGTCTTGCGAGCTGCTCATGGCGAGCAGCGTGCGCGACATGTCGTCCTTGTCGTGCGTGCCCAGCATGGACAGCAGCGAGTAGACCATCTCCACCTAGGGCACCCCCAGCGGCAGCGACCGTGGCACGCGCGTCGTCACGATCGACGCACACACCCAGCCGTGGTTGCTACAACTGGTCAACGTCGCTGCTCACACGAGCGTCGAGGCATTGGTGCTAAATGTCCCGTTTACAGCTTTGCGGAGCCACTCGTGGCCATTGCACATTCCTCTAGCGGGGGGGGGGCAGGGCGAGCCTCCCAATAGGACAATCGCCGTTGACTTTCATACAAAGTGGTTCTCATTTTCTCGACCTCCATAGGTATTTATTGGATGATGGACCGAATCAAATCTCGACCATAATATTAACTCGTAACCCACTGGATTCGTGAGCTGCCGCCCGCTCTATCGCTGAGCTACTTGGCCAGGTTTCTATATACAGGTGTCCACAAATAACAGGGGCAGATATATACACAAGCAAACCTCTGGACCGATTACGACAGACAGTATCTAGGACCCATAGATTAGCATTTCGCCAGTATTGAATCAAGCAAGCCTGAGGCCTGCTGATGAGACACCATGTCACAACCGAGTGTTTGAATCAATACTGCTGGACCATACGGTCAGCCACTGTGGTCTGCACTCTCACGAGAGAATGCCGCTGCGATTATGCACACTGGCAGACGGAAGGCCGTGCAGGGCGGCTGATGGGATGCGTCAGAAACGCTCGCATTGCGTTACGCGGAGAAACGGATTCTATGCGAAGGAGACGCGTTGTCTGCGTACGCCCGTGTGGATCGGGTCACGTGTTCCGATGCCGGGCGGCCAACGAGCACGGAAAACGGAGACTCTAAAACCGGCTTGGCGGCACAGCGAGCGAGAAGCTGGTGCATGCGGTTACTGCCGCCGATTCCACCGCCTCCTATCCTCACCACCGCTGACCCCCTGCCCACCCACCCCCGAACGCTTCACGCACGCGGCCCCAATTACAGGGAACAAAACAATGGCTCCTAGGACCAAATCACCCGGAATGCACGCAATCTCGTTACACCTCGGGTTAAGCCCGGATGAGCGGCACAGAAGGGGCGGTGTGGGCAGGATTGCGAGGGATGGCAGTGGCTTAAGAAGGGAAGGCCTTCGCAAAGCAATCCTTTGTTGTGCTGCACTATGCCACATCGCCTTCACCAACCTGCACAGGCCAGCGTGGAGAAGCGTTGTCTACTAATCACCTCCTCCTCCAGTAAAGCACTGACAATGTGGCTGCACCTTTGCGTGTACAAAACGGCTGAACCTCAACGGTGCGGGGGCCGGGGCTAAATGCGGACGGGACCCCACGCCGTGGGGGAGACAAAGACGGGCGAGAAGCAGCAGCGCTCAGAAAATTAACGGAGGAGGCGGCGTCCCTGTGAGCCGCATCGAACCTCCGACGATGGACGAGACGAAATGTATATTCAGTTATAGTCAGAATCATATATTTGAATGGGCATTCGTCTGCCAGTAGGGGAGGGGGGGGAGATGATGATCGCTCCTGTACGTGTCATCCCAACTGAGTCAGTTGCTGTCATTTTCCCGATGAGGAAAATCTTGACAGTGATGCTGGCACACAATGGCCTACTCTTGCGAATGTCCACCATGAGTGAATTATTATCGCTAATACACACCACCGCGGTGATAACCACCGTTTACAAGCACACACACGTGTACACATTCATTTGGCAATGCATTCAATAACGCACGGAAGTTTTTGTTGCAAAACATGCAAGCAGCCGCATTATGATTAATGAGATAACATGAGAAGAGGCAATAAATGCTCAGTAGCCAAGCATGCTGCGCAGTTGTCAAGGTCTGACTGAGCTTAGCGGTTGCAAGGTTCGGCATTGACGAGTGGTGACCAGACGTGCAGATTGAAGCGTTAGTTTAGGCCGAGTGGCTATGCATTGGCGAGGTCATCACGGTTCAGAGATATATGAAATGGCTGTAACATGCATGTGCGTGTACATGTGTTTGGCGACTGACAAGGGCTCCGCGGGAGCACGTTCGCCGCTGGCTGCAGAGGTTCGCGGTTCGATTCTGGCGGCCACCCTGGTTAATTCTGCGGGCGTGATTTACCGGTCAAGGACCACGTGACGTAATTCGCAAGAGTCGGCCGTTGTGTGCCAACATCACGGTCTATGTGACCAAATGTTTTAAATTACATCGCTGATTCCTCAATTGGGATCAGCCAGGGGTCGGCAACCAAAATAACAAAAGCAGCCGTTTTTGGTCGAATCCGGTAAACAAAAAAAATCTCAACGTATCGAGAGCCGCAACGTGCGTGGTGAATAACGTCACCAAGCGGCAGTCCCGAAAGAGCCGCGCGCCGAGCCCGGAGCCGCAGGTTGCCGACGCCCTGCCCGAGAGGGCGTTTTTGGTCTACTCTTCCGCTTTTAGCCAGTCGTGTGGGAAGAGATGAGGGCGTACCCGCCACTTTGCCCCGCTGTACGCGAGCGGCCGATCACAGGTCAACTGTGGGGGAGCCCATTTACACGGCTGCTGGGTTGACGGCGGGGGCGGCGGTGGGGATTTAAGAAACTTGCCCCGTCGCTTCAACTGCCGCTCCAGGAGATGGAATCGAACCAGCGACCTCGAGATCGCAAGTCCAGCGCCGCTGCTCACCATTAAGCCACAGAAGTTATAAGGAAGCGAGGGTGAGAAGGTGTGCGGATAGGTGTTTGCGGTTATCAGGGTTGTGTGTAGTAAACAGACTCGGCACAGAGTGAAAGAGGGCAGTGGAGAAGGCAGAAACCTGAACTCTGACGTCCTCCGTTACCTTGGTACCCAGGTGGCTCGCCGGTTGCCGCGGTAACGAGCACGTACTGCTGAAGCTCATCACACTGCCCACGTCGTGCTCCTGCCCTCCAGAGCTCTGCAGTGACAGCAGCAACAGAAACAGCAGCAGCAGCATATTGCGAGGCGCTCACACCTCACACAACGTGCACATCCACACTGCTGCTTTCTACTGCACGGGTTTCTCTACGTGAATCTACGGTTCTCTGTGCGAGTCAAAGGGCCTCGATGTCTGTACACCGTCGAGAGATGCGGTGGAGGTACAACACGCGGTTTCATTCACAACGCATTGCTACATCCGTGAAACACGGCTAACGTGCGATGCATCGCACGTTAACTTTTGAACGTTCTGGGCAGCGGAGTTAACTTGAAGGGCACGGGGGGACGGGAGGCGAAGGATCAATCTGCCGACATGCACTCGCGATACGGGCTTTGGGTTAGGCCATGTAATTATCCGATCAGTTTGTTTTGTTAGAAACCCCTCCACCATCTAACACGGTTTACAAGCGTTTAATAATGCGCCGATTATTACGCTCACACGCTCACTCACTCACACACTCACTCACCGACCCACTAACTCACTTATCCACTCACCCACCAACTCACTCACGAACACACTCACTCACTTAGCCACTAACCCAGACACTCACTCACCCACTGGCGGTAAGTTTTCTGAACAATTCTCACAACCGAATGTAGCCAAGTGTGAGAGATACGCGACGTTTCGCTTGAAACGGCACCAAGCAACTCCAGGACAAGTTCCAGGACATAAAAAAAAAATCCAGGAAGTTACATTTTGGGCAGATCATTAACGTGGCCTGGCCTCAAAAAATTTATCAATCACGAATCATTGAACGCAAAAGTGAACGAGTGAAGCGCGGATGAATAACGATCTGCGTTACGCTATGCGCTGACACCGCGGCCGCAGAACAGAAATGAGATTTTCTCGCTGTCACTTCTCATTCGTTTTGACACCGCCAACGCTAGTCCCGAGGTGTGAACATCTGATTTGACACGGCCATCCAAGGCAGCCGGTCAAGCGCAACGCACGTGCACCAAACGCGCGTGCGCACACACACGCGCGTACAGAAATCCCAACATCCTCCGTGTAACCACAGAGACACAGTCAGAGCAATGGCTGTTAGCAAGCACCTGTTAAGGCTGGAATGGCACACACAAGGGTGTGTAACGGCCTGCACCAAGCCCTGCCACCTTTGTCCCCACCCATTGCTGATGTTTGCTCACTGTGCCAACTTATCATCTAAAGTTGCTGACCAAGGGGACAGCCCAGGACGAGTTGTGATATCGCTCGCCACTGGTGTTAGCCACTGGTGTTAGCCACTGGTGTTAGCCACGGGATAGAAATTGAGCTCAGGTCACACCAGTTTGGAGCGCATCGCGCCAACCACTGCGCCACGACTCCTAAAATCCACACCTAGCAATACAGGAACACACAAGGGAACACAGGAACACGCACACATGAGAATACACACACATACGGGAACACAGGAACACACACACAGAATACACACACAGGAACACGCACACACATACATTTGTCTGCAACTCCCCTCCCCCCAGCCACCTGTGCTGTCGACTCCCTGCCTCTGTTCAAGTCCAGGACTTGAGCCCTTCATCTTCTCCTGTGCCTGTGCCTGACGGCCTCTCTCTCTCTCCAAGTGAATATCGCCCACTGTTTCTGTACACAGCATCTTAGGCTGCAGTCACACCGAGACACACCGGGGATGGACTGCGTACGTGCGGAGGGCCTAGCGTGGTGCAGGGCTTTGTTCTCCCAGGTGCCATCAAGTAACAATCACAGATTCACGACGCTCCGACGACTCCGGCACGGGCGGCGCACGCAAGCGCCCAGTGGGGCAAGGGCACACACCCCCCTCTCCCTCCCCCCTCTCCCTCCCCCCCTCTCCCTCCCCCCCTCTCCCTCCCCCCCTCTCCCTCCCCCCCTCTCCCTCCCCCCCTCTCCCTCCCCCCCCTCTCCCTCCCCCCCTCTCCCTCCCCCCCTCTCCCTCCCCCCTCTCCCTCCCCCCCTCTCCCTCCCCCCTCTCCCTCCTCCCCCGTAAACACACAATGGAAGCAGCAGGCTAAATGCCCTCGCCAGTGCCGTGACTATCGGGTGTGCAGGCAGTGCAGCTGCACCTGCCGGAGCTACGAAGAGGGGGGTGGTAGAGGGGGGTGGGGGAAGTTGGACAAGGGGTGGCCATAGCATTCCTTGCACCAGGGCCCATGCCGACCACGTGATGCCACTCTATATGGGTTTCTATGAGACGATAGGTACCTATGTATCTCTGTCTCTATGGCTTTCTATGCTGCTGTGACATATACCACTTTAAAAATTAATGATCGGAAAACATTGTTTTAGTGTAATTCTCATCAGGCCTCCATAATGTAAACAAGCGCAGTCTCCATCCATCCTGTCTCTCTGGGTTTTGAACTTATGTTCTATAAATAGGGGCAATTGCCCGACACATCGGCGATTATATAATTTCCTTTAATGCCGCAGTGTTATTGGCCCACGTTGTTTGTTATTCGTGCTTGTCCCCCAGTGCAGCAGCATCGCCCGAGGATCCCTTACGGGTTTATATGCGAGTCTAGACTTGAGGACAACCCAGCCTATGCGAGTCTACGCGTCTCAACAGCAGTCCATAGGTGTCAATGTGAGTTTCACTCAATCAATATTTATTTTACACGCCAATATCGGCCTCAATTAATGAGGCATCGGTGCACATTACAGATAAACGGGAACGGTACAGGGGCATACGGCAACAGGAATGAAAAGGAAACCCGTCACGCTCCCAGCGCTTTAATGGACATCGGCGGAGCCGTCGAGTGTGCAGGCGGTGCACCTGCACCGCTAGGGTCCACGGGCCGGACAGAGGGGGCCCAGGCATTGTTGCAGTGCGGCATTGGTGAAGAGGGCAGCACGCGCACACTGCACCGGTTCAGGTATCACTCGCCACCGCTGTGAGCCGTCACCCTGGAATCGGTTCAGGTATCACTCGCCACCGCTGTGAGCCGTCACCCTGGAATCGGTTCAGGTATCACTCGCCACCGCTGTGAGCCGTCACCCTGGACCGGTTCAGGTATCACTCGCCACCGCTGTGAGCCGTCACCCTGGACCGGTTCAGGTATCACTCGCCACCGCTGTGAGCCGTCACCCTGGACTGGTTCAGGTATCACTCGCCACCGCTGTGAGCCGTCACCCTGGACCGGTTCAGGTATCACTCGCCACCGCTGTGAGCCGTCACCCTGGACCGGTTCAGGTATCACTCGCCACCGCTGTGAGCCGTCACCCTGGACTGGTTCAGGTATCACTCGCCACCGCTGTGAGCCGTCACCCTGAAATCGGTTCAGGTATCACTCACCACCGCTGTGAGCCGTCACCCTGGACCGGTTCAGGTATCACTCGCCACCGCTGTGAGCCGTCACACTGGACCGGTTCAGGTATCACTCTCCACCGCTGTGAGCCGTCACCCTGGACTGGTTCAGGTATCACTCGCCACCGCTGTGAGCCGTCACCCTGAAATCGGTTCAGGTATCACTCGCCACCGCTGTGAGCCGTCACACTGGACCGGTTCAGGTATCACTCTCCACCGCTGTGAGCCGTCACCCTGGACCGGTTCAGGTATCACTCGCCACCGCTGTGAGCCGTCACCCTGAAATCGGTTCAGGTATCACTCGCCACCGCTGTGAGCCGTCACACTGGAATCAGTTCAGGTATCACTCGCCACCGCTGTGAGCCGTCACCCTGGAATCGGTTCAGGTATCACTCGCCACCGCTGTGAGCCGTCACACTGGAATCGGTTCAGGTATCACTCGCCACCGCTGTGAGCCGTCACCCTGGAATCAGTTCAGGTATCACTCGCCACCGCTGTGAGCCGTCACCCTGGAATCGGTTCAGGTATCACTCGCCACCGCTGTGAGCCCTCACCCTGGAGTCGAACCCAGGTCCCCGAGCTCGCGGTTCAGGTGTGCCAACTTCCGCGCGATCGCTCCGTGATTAATTGCCCCACTAATTTATTTTAATTACCCCACGCACAATCAATGACCCATTTTTCTCGTGAACGATTTATCCGCGTGCTGGATGCTGCAGGGCAGCCAAACAACTCCACGCGGCATGCCAGTTACGATTATTATCGTTACGCACGCTCGTTTACCCAGTAAAGCCTCGTTAAGTCTCTTTATTTTCATGAGGGTCCTGTCAGGTGTGTGCAGAAGGGATGGGAGACGTTCCTGCTTTGTGTAATCCTCCATTGAATATAATTGTGGATATTTTGGCCAAGGCCAGTTACGCTGTGTGTGTGTTTAGCTATGGGAGGAAACAGGAGAACCCAGAGGGCGCCGTGGTGGTGAGACGTTCACTACCTCGCCTGGTATACACAGGAGGTGATGGGTTTCATCCCGTCCCTAACGCCTGTACATTTTCGAGTTTGCACGTTCTCTCTCCCCGAAGTCGAGTGCATTTTCCCCTCCTCATTTAGAGTCAACATGCGCTTAGATGACGAGCCACCTCGTTGAGCTAGAATTCGTGGCCAGGTCACTTCGTGGGCCTTGCCTGGTAAACTAAAACTTGTTTGGTTTACATTGCACAGCAAACGGCAGCTCACGAATCGACGTGTTCACACGACAGCTCAGGGCACGGCAATCCGCTGCCTTGCTGCGTTTCGACTGATTAGCATTGACGTGTACACCGTTCTTATTATTTTGCCTACAATTTGCATTCTCTGAAAATAGTCCGTGCGCGGTTCGAGGCGCGCATCGTTGAGTGTAGCGATCGATGATGATGATGGGCGAACCGATCCGGTCGTCGCGACGAGCTCGATGCGAACTCGCTCACCTGGCCCCGCCGCGCTTCCTTTGTGCAGGGATTGGAGCCGAGCCGGCTCAGCCCTATTGTCCTTCACCCCCCCCCCCCGCCGCTGCCCCCCCAGCTACCCAACTCCTTCACCCACCCGCACTGAACCAGCGTGGTGAAGTACGGTCAATCAACATCCCATGACCTGCACCAATGCGGAGGCCCACACGTCCAGCAGTGGATTGGTTGCGACCGTGCACACGACCGGCAAAGGCACGTGGAAGGCTTCATCCAGCAGTGGCTTGACAGAAGGCCGTGAATTATTCTTACGATTGATCATTGATTTTTGGGTCAAGTAGCACGAGTGAAATCTGTGTCGTGGACCATCCTCCACCCGCCACAGCCGATTCATTAAGTTGTCAGTTGAACAAATGTGGCTATTGATCACTGCTTCAGCAGCACCACCAGCAGCGTGCTGGAGTACACACCCAGTATGCTGGACAACACACCGGTGTGTTGGAGAGCGATCCACACGAATTTAACAACCGAATACCGAAGTTGCTACTCGCATCTTAATCATCATCAGGCAGTTTGCCAGAATTGTAAAAATGTCCTCCAGCCTTGTACTTAACATCGATCGCAAAAGCCTGTGTGGTGTTGAATTTAAGCGATTCTCATTCATTCAATCGGCAAAGCAACCGAGCAAAGCCCTGCAAACTGCACCGACACCCAACGCGTGAATGGCGCCGCCACCGTGCGGACTGCGAGCGCTGCACAAGACAGTGCTGACACGCTGCTGCTGCTGCTGCCGCTTTGTGCTCGGGGGATTATGAATTACAGCTGTCGGTCGTACGGGTCACGTGGGACCGCACCGCAGCGCCGTCGCCCGGGCGATGAAGCCGATACGGTTCCTCCCCGACATCGGCGACCCGACCGTTAAACGAGCCACGGGGCGCCGGCACACGCCGAGCCGCGGGGAGAGGGAGGCAGCGCACGACGCCCGGGGTCGCTCGGCCATATTTTGTGGAGATTCCCTCTCTGGTCACGTAGTGCCACGGCCATTGTGCACCTCCCTCCCTCGCTCCCTCGCTCCCCTCGCACAGCCTCGCGTTGCCAGGCAACCGCAGCGAGCAGCCAGGCAGCAAGGAATCATCTCTCCCTCCCTCCCTCCCCTGCTCGCTTGCTCATTCCGTCTCGCCGGTTTTTATTCAACCCTTTCCCCTTCTACTCCGACAATCGCCGTCCAAACGTCAGCAGCGTCCACAGCCGTGGACATTGCTGATGAGAAATATAATCACGGAGGAGGAGGGGAGAGGTGTGGCACCACCTCTGCCTCCACCATCGACCGCGATGATTCTCCAAGCCATCGGCACAACAAGAGGCACAGTGTGAGCCTTACAAGACGCGTGTGACATCACCGGGGCGGCGTTGTCACCGCGCCAGGACACCCGATTCGGCACCCACGCCGCAAGATACATTTACGTTGTCTGTTCGAGCGCGATTGCTGGAAGCGACGAATCTGTACCGGGGCCAAAGGCATCATCGCCCGTAAAAAAAAAACAGCGCTGACGCCAGCACGATGTGAAAGTTCCCCCTCCCCCTCCACCCCGCCACCAGAAAGAAGACGCAAGAGCTGGCACCGGCGGCTGCATCTCGCGGCCAGGATCTGCCCGAGCTGATCGCTGCGACGCGCCGCCCGGGCACACTGGGCCCCTTTGTACGAGCGCCTGCCTTCGGAAGATTCACGACTCGTCAAATGGCGCGCCGCTCACAGCGACGGCGGTTTATCACGGAGAGCCGACGGGAAGATGGCCCCGCCGAGCGACGTCACCTCACGAGGTCACGGTCGAAAGGTCGATGACGTCACCAGCATCCCCAAACGCCGCCTTGCCATCGCTTCCTCCCGTCTGCGAGACTCCCGCAGTCACCGCAGTTGGAGACGAGGCAGCACAAACAATTCCGCACCCTTGTCGCAAATTAATCGAATCGTCGCGATCCAGGGCCCGCAGGACTGGATTGAAGAAATTTTTTTTTTTTAATTTAAGCTGCAGTGAAAGTAAGGGATTGCTAGTGGGTCACATTCTATCATTATGCAGTACACATCAACAATATCACGCGCTGCTCGATGCCGTCAAATCGCGAGTTTCCAGAGACCGAAATCAACCAACAAACCGAGGCAACGGTAACGCCTGTAACGAGTCGGCACCCGGCTGCCACGGCGGAACTCGGCAGCCCGAATCCGCCACGAGGAGAGACCTTGCACAGAGTGCGGGAGGCTGGAGAGCAGAGCCCAGACAGATTTGCGAAAACACGCAGCGGCCTAGTGGAGCAGATGAAAGCTTCTCGGAAGGAATACGAGAGGCAATCGACAGGAAACGTTTGGAATCCATCGCCGCTCAATCGTTAATTAACAAAGGGCGATGCTGCGCACCACCATTACCGCCGCGCTTCTCAATGCGCTCCCGTTTAGAGTGCGGACACTCATCGGAAGTGACGTCCCCGAAACGTGAACAGACCCCCTGTCGTCAAGCCCCTGCTGGATGAGGGGCCTCCGAATGCCTTGCGGGGGGGGGGGGGGGTGTGAGGGCAGACTGCCGCGACACGACAGGGATCGTAAACACGGAACGAAAGCTGACGAGCCCGCAAACAAGAAGCGCCGAGTGTTGCGCGTTTGCGCATTGAGAGGACAGGAAGGGGAAAACGCACGGATCGGGGAACAAACGCAAGTGGGTGACATCGTGGCGACTTGAGGATACTTTGGTGGGCCTCGTGGCAGGACGGCTCCGTGCCTCGGAGGGGAGCGATGGCCGACGGTCGAGGGTGGAACCTCGCCGGACGAGGGCGTCCGCAATAAGCGGCACCGCGTGAGCGGGCGCGCCACGGATCGTGCGGCATCCGCACGCACCGTGATACGTGTGGCAACGGGCATCGGGAGGTCTTCATCCAGCAGTGGATAAACCATGGCTCGTGGTGGTGAAGATGATTAGTAACATGGAGAGATCGATAAGCATGCTCACTGCATGATGGCCTGTTCGGCGCGTGGAGAAGAAAGAAGGTTCCAGTCCCCACACGTCAGTTAATCCGAGACCCAAACATTGAGTCCCCTCTGGACTGCAACGACAAACCTGCGTCGTGATGAATTGTTGGGCGAGGCCACGGTAATGATCTGAGCGAATTGGTGTCGTCAAGAGCCCACCACCACCTGACTGGCACAGCCGCCAGCAAGTGTCAAACATCCCTACGCTCTGTCCGGGTCGGCGACCTCGTCAACTATATTCACACCCAGCACACCAAATCCAGTACCCCTCCCGTTATGCCCTCTGGCTACGAGTAATCACGTGCCACCTATCCAGTCAGTCCATCAGCGACCGGTTAAAAATATCCAGTGAGAAATTGAAGCGACAGGCCCCCCCCAGCCCCCACCCTCTGCCCCCCCCCCCCACCCCTCCGTCACGTTACCTGGCGGCACTCTGGGGGGTCGTGGTCCGAATCCACCGAGGCGGAACTGCCGCCGAGTCCACGGGAGCCGCGCAGGCCGCCCGCGCCCTCCCTGTGCGGCACCGACTTGCGGTTGGCGAAGAACCTCAACATGAGCGCGGCGCTCCACTCCGGCATGGGAGGGCCCGCAGGTGCGACGGGGCCGGGACACCGGCTGCGGCGGCGCGGGTGGGGGCACCGTGCCTTTGTCTCCTCACCTGTGCATTCACCTGTCTGCTCACCCGAGCTAAGCCTCCGCCTGTCTGCCCACCTGAACTCGCCCTCCCACCTGGCCGCTTCACCTGTACATTCACCTGTGCCAACACCTCCCTCTAGTCTTAGGTCACCTCTCCCACACCTGTGCCTGCACCGATCCGCTCGCCTGTGCTTAGACCTGCCGCTGCAGCTGTCCACTAATGGCTTCCAGCCCTGTGCGCCTGTACCCTCACCTTCCTACACTCCTAAATGTACACCCATCTGCTCACCTGTACTCAGCTGTCGGCCAATCCTTTTACCTGCAGCTGGGAACGCACCTATGTCCGGCAACTGCCACGATCCCTGCACCTGCCCCCGCCCTCCCCCGTCCGCACCGAGCCAGCCCGGAGCCACGCCACAACTACCGCCGCTCCGGCACCGGCACCGAGTCTCGGGCCACTGGGCCAATCGATCCACCGCCACTCCCGCGACGACCGCGGCAGCGTGAGCTCAGCACCGCGGACAAATAGCTGCTGCCGCCGCCGCCGCACACGCGCACACAGGCAGGCGGGCGGGTGAGCGAGCGGGCGGGCAGCTTGCGAACGTCCACTCGACGAATTAGCGGAGGGGCGTCGTGACCCCGGCGACTAAGGTCCACGCAGACACGGCGCGCGCCGGCGAGCGTGCAAATTGTGGGCGCGCAGAGGGAGGCCGCGGCGAGGCTCGGTGCCGCGACGCGCCGGACAATGGAGGACGGAGCATGCTCAGTGGCGTCCGCCCATCCATCCGCTCGCCCACCCGCGGTCCCCGTGTGCTCGCTCGCTCGTTCGCTCACTCCTCCCTCGCCGTCTCGCTCGCTGCATCTCGCAGGCGCGCGTGCGCGCTCGCTCCTGCCCTGATATTTCTCTCGCTCTCCCGCTCGCTCGCACTTTGCTTGCGCTCTCACTAGCGCTCCCACTAGCGCTCCCTCTCTCTCATTTGCTCTCTCTTATTCGCTCTCACCCGCCCGCTCTCCGGCTGCAAAGCCAAGGCACCAGCCGCTTGCTCACGTGACTCCTCACTTGCAAGACAGATTGCAGGAACAAAAAAAATCTGCGGAAGCCTCGTCTTATTCTCGAGGAACGACCGATTTTGTCGGATTTTTTTTCTTTCAGTTTTGTTAGAGCCTGAATTATGCATGGCATGCAAATGCGTGCGCTGATCAATGCATCCCTCGACACATCGCGACCGCTCTAGCGATGATAAATGCGAGGGATACCAATAACTTCCGCTGATTTCTAGGGCCCCCTGCCTGGGTCTTGCTGTAGCTCCTATCTCCCTAGACTGCCCTGACCCCCTTCTCCGTGGGACCCAGGGTTCAATTGCAAAACTGCTGAATAATCGCTGCGATATTCCAACTGACCCGACACAGCTAGCCGCATAGCTTTCGATCGCTTTCAAACGGGAACAATCGACAATGTGCATTTACACAAAATGGGCACGGAGCTTCCGTGCACTCAATCTAAGGCACGACTGGTGCCACGCAAGCTCGTTAGGCCCAGCAAGAGCACCGGCTAATCCGCCGGATCCTCATTAAACCCCCGCATGCCCAGCAGATTTAACAGCCGAGGCAAACAAAAGCACGCGGTCCGTTTACAACAGGGAAAAATAACCAGCGACAATCGCAGCGGAGAAACACAACACCGTGCCGCTGCAGCTGCAGCGTCCAATTAGGCTGATTCGTGTATTATTGTTAGATTTTATTACTTCTTCTGCCAAACACCGGGCTGGACAAACGACGTCAGGGCCACAGAGCTCCTGGAGGCCGCTCGCCATCCAGGGGGCGGTGATGCGGCCTCGGGTTAGCCGCGTTCGCCGCCGCTCGCCGCAAAGGTGCGTGGTTTGATTCAGGCGGGCCGCCCTGCTTAATACCACAGTTGTGTGTATTGCCCGTAAATTTACTCCGACAACCACGACGTGCCGTCTGCTTCATTCGCAGTGGAACGTTGAAAGGTCCCGTGACATCGCTCTTAAAGAGTAGTAGGCCACTGCGTACCGGCTTCACGGTCCAAGTTTGCCAAATTAAAAAAAATCACACTGCAAATGACTCAACTGGGATTACACGCAACAGCAGCAACCCCCCCCCCACCCCCAAATGTGAAACTACCGCAGCCTGTGTCCGTGAAACCCAGCAGTGCTTCATCACGATCATAATTACCATTATCCCTCCGCACGTACAGAAACCACGACCGCCGGCGCAACAAATCTGGAATTCCGGCGGCTCTCGCGGGAAAACCCCCGAGCCCCAGAGCACAGCGCCGCTCGCACACCGGCCCCGATCACACCGGCCCCGGTCACATCGGCGCTGCCACACAAACCGGACGATGCAAACGAAATGTGCCGCCGCTAGTTTTTATCTGCGGCAAAACAAGGCGGTGAAAATAACCACGCTCCCGCGCTAAACTTGGGGCGTCCGCCGCCACTTCGCCCAGCCGACTCCGGGGTACATCGGCGTCACCGAGGGCCGGGCAGCGTCCACCCCGGATCCGTGCCGCCAGCAGTGGTGAAGCGCCACCCTCGTCAAGGGTACGTCGCGCTCACAGGCCACCCACTGACCGCCACACGTCTACACGTGCGCATGTAGGCGACAGGCCGTTGCGCACGCGTTACTTTACACCACATCCACCATACCTCTTTGCGAATGGATACTCCTGGTCACGTGTCGCCAGCTACCTACCTACCTACCCCCCAGTCGACCAGTGACCTGGAAAATATTCAGTAAGAAATTAAGCCCTGATCATTCTGAGGATAAGGGTAACAGGACACATCCTGGATAGATAACCCTTGATGACGGTTCGCTTTCCCAGCTATCGCTGTGCACCCGCGTAACCTCTGCCACGGACCGCAAGCGGGAAAACCTCGACTCCAGCAAAATCGAGTTTTTGCTGCGAAGCATAAAATATGAAAATGGAGCAGGCAGCAGGAGAAGCAGCTGTTGGGGGTTGCCGTCTGCCGTGCGGGGGGGGGGGGGAAGAAGCCCTCTCATAGGCGCACAGCCAGATGTCACGTCAAGGCCACAACTAATGCAGGGGGGGGGCCGCAGTGATCTCATTATTCACCAATACCACGTGGCGAGCAACATCGTCACCAGCATCATCATCATCATCATGGCCACTACCATACCGAGTGACATCATCATCGTAGCATCATCATGATTACTACATTCCACTAACATCACCAGCAACATGAACATCATCATCACTTACAGAAACATCACTCTCAACACTACTATAAGCAACATCATCATTGCTACTGCCTTTAACACCATCATTACGAAAATCACAGTAACCAGCACCACCACCACCACCATGGCCATCACTACACCCATCATGACCACATTACCATCACTCGTCAATATGTCTTCAATACACGAGTTCCATTTCCTGTGTCTCGGACGAACTGTTTCGCTAACAGCGGCGCAGCTATCGAGTGTGCAGGCGGTGCACCTGCACCAGGGCCCACACCAAGCTCAAGCAGCAGGGGCTGGGGGGGGGGAGCGAGGAAAGGAGGGCCAATTTAAGTTAGTCAAAACCAGTTAGAATGATTTTTTTGCGGAGGAAACCCAGAGGAATCCTCGTATAGAACAAGGGGAGAACATACAAACTCTACACACTGACTCTCACACTAATACAAATATCCCCCATTTAACCTTGACAGCCTTTTGGGTCAAGTGCCGTGAGCGAGCACTTAAGAACGGGCATGGTACACGAGGGAAGTGGGTGGCCAGCACCACGCCCAACTGCCTTTAACTCTCTCGCAGCGATGTTGACACCCGGCGTCAGGTACTCATTTAAGGCTGAGTCGACCTAGCGGACGCCCTGGACTGGTTCAGCTAATTGTCACTGGTGTTGGCCGTGAGCTGAAATCGAACTCGGTTCACCGGGTTCACATTGCAAGCACGCTAACCACTTCGCCACTGCTCACACACACGCTCACACACTCTCACTTCAACAAGGGGAGAAGACACAAACTCCACGCAAAAAAGGGGGCCGGCGTCGGGAATCGAACCAAGGTCCCTTCTTGCTGCGGGCCACGAGCGGTGACCGCCGCGGCAGCAGCTGTTGACAACCGACGGCAGAAGAACCCTCGCGGGAGACAGTGCCGGGGACGGCACCCGCGGCCCACGCAGCAACAGCGGCAGCAGCAGCAGCGAACCGCCGGCGGCTCCGAGCGGCGGGGGTGGAGAGGACACCGCGGCCGCCCAACGATCTCTGCTCTCACCGACGACTGCCTCCATTTCTATCGCGTCAGCTGCGGCGTCACGTGACCAAGGGCGGTGCGAGAAATACTCTCGGAATCGTTTTCGAAAATAAATAAATAACCATGAGACAACTCGCACAGGACAAAACGATCACTGGAGAATCGACCATGAAGGTGGGGGAGCGTTGCCGTTCAATCCGGCTCCAGTGGACGGACACATTCAACACGACGCAGGGGCTGGAGTGACCAGACATTCCGAATCGCAATTGACAATTTTTTTTAGTGTCAGATCGCCGCGTGAAATTTCGTGTCGTTAAACCCTCCTCCACCCGGCGGTTTCCCTGGGAATCTGGCTGTGCACCTTCGTGTGATATTTGTTCCGTCGCAAATTGTCGAGCGGAGAGACCGACCGTCCCTGCGATGGGAATGTGGAATTTTCTACCGTTGCTTCCAGACTGTTTTGCAGACTGCGGTCTGCTCACTCGCCCCCCGTGAGATGAGGCCACGTAACCCCAACGCGCGGGGGTCGGCCCACAACCCCGGGTCAATTACAAGACCGCACTCCACAGACTCACCTCTGCTTACCTCTCTCATCTCACTCGACTCCCCTCCATGCACCACTCTCCTGCCTCTCTCGTCTCACTCAACTCCCTCCCCCCCCCATCGGCTCCCCACCACCTCTCTCCTCCCATCGCTCTCTACTTCCCTCGCCCTCTCCGCTCCATCAACCAAGGCTTTCTACCGAAGCCCGCAATCAACCTTCTCTCCGTGGGAGGTCACTCATTCTCTTCCTCTGCTGCCTCAGGAATTTCCTTCCCCCATCCATCCGTCCGTGCTCTCGACTCCCTGCCCCTGATCGAGCCCAGGCTCAAGGCCATCCCCCCACTTCTCCTCTGCCAGCGACCGAGAGCCTCTCTCTGCACAGTAAACGTATCCACTGTTTCTGTTCCGTCTGTATGGAGTCGCGAAATCATTAAAACACGGTAGATCCACACCGTGTTATAATGATGAAGCCGGAGCAGATGGCGGCTGAAAAATGTTTTGTTCCATCGCTGCGAACCCGGGCGACGCAAGTTCGATTCGCGCTCACAGCCAATAACAGTGGTGCACATCTGAATCGATTGCGGACCTCCCCGACGTCGACTCGGTGTGTAAACAAAATTGCACTGGGGAGACAAAGGTGGCCAGGTGTGGTGTTGATCACTCAAATGTGCTGGCTAACAGCACTTGCTCGAAAAATCTGTTAAAGGCTATACGAGGGATCTTTGTCTTTATTTGTGTACGTGTGCGGACGTATGTGTGCCAACCTCTCACATACCTCCCGCTTCTCAATCACGTACGTACGTGCGCGACCGCATAGTAATAACCGCAAAAACCGAAAGCTTCCGCAGATTTTTTTTTTCCCGGAGCCCTCTGCACATCAACCACAGCAGGCAATAAGTGCGGTGCGCGATGGAGTGGAGCGGATGTGAGAGGGAGTGACACGGGGAGGGGGGAAGGGGGGGCGGCCGTCTCGTCTGCCACTCCGCAGCAGCCGTGGGGATTCTGGGTAAGACCCAACATTCTTATCGCCTTACAGAGGGAGACGCGATGGTCCCCCCCCCCCCCCCCCCCCCATCATACAGCGCTCTTGTTCCCTCTCACGCACCGCGGAGCGTCCGCTAACGTACCGGGCTAACGCATGGTCAGGGTGCCCGGGTATGACAGG